GTTCACTAAAAACATGTTTTTTTATATTATGGTAGTTTGGATAAGCACAAACTACTAATCTGCTTAATCCCATTCTCTCACCGATAATGTACAACATATGAACACAGAATTATACATAAGGATATTGTTCACTAAAAACATATATTTTTATATTGTGGTAGTTTGGATAAGCACAAACTACTAATCTGCTTAATCACATTCTCTCACCGATAATGTACAACATATGAACATAGAATTATACCTTATGATATTGTTCACTAAAAACATGTTTTTTATATTATGGTAGTTTGGATAAGCACAAACTACTAATCTGCTTAATCACATTCTCTCACCGATAATGTACAACATATGAACATAGAATTATACCTAAGGCTATTGTTCACTAAAAACAGATATTTTTATATTATGGTATTTTGGATAAGCACAAACGCCTTTTGCTGTACATAGTGTGCAAACATTTAGATAACTGGTACTGAATGTTGTCATTTTTAAGGAGCCACAGAAACTTTTCAAAATTTGAAAATTCAGTGAAATTTGTTTCTTGTATTTTAGCTATGTTAAATATAGATAGTCTGATATCTTTATAGAAGTTGCATTCTACAACAAAATGAAATTCATCCTCTATGGCTTGCTTGTCACAGAGAGTACATAGTCTTTCTGAAAGAGGAGTGATGGGCTTTGTATATCTTCCACATTCTATATTAATTGGCAGGTTACCACAACGCAATGATGCTAATACACTTCTATATTGCCTTGGTAGAGACATTTTAACATAATGGCATGTTTCAATTTCTTGTTGAAATAATCTATAAGTTCTTAACTTGTTTCCATTTGAATTATTTTTGTCATTAAATAGATCTGAATACCACTTCTCTCTGTCTTTCTTATCCAGCTCATGCAATGCTTGATCAAGAAACACTGGCCGGCTTGTGTTATTACAGTATTCATATACAGTCTGGCCTCTGTTGGTGATAGCAAGCTTTTTAACCATGACCATAACCCTGTAGTCCCATGATGATTTCCGCCTTACTGACCACCTGTGAATAATACCTATTATTGAATCTGGTTCGGCTGTGACAGCTCTATGAAAACATCTATAAACACTTCAACTAGAATCTTAGTCTGTTGATTTTTCCATCCCATATCACCTCGTACAGCAATATTTGAGCTATTTTTCCGAACACCCAGGAAAATCGACCGGCTTTGTTTTGTATATGGTTAATACTGTCATACTGTGGGCAGAGTAAGCAACTCCAACTCGTTGAGTGACAGAGATTAACCAGATTATGATTGTGTTTGAAAGTTGCGTTTGATCTGTGCCTGGTTGCAGTTGTTTTATACGGCAAGACCAGGGGTAGTTTTTTCAATGAAACCTTTTAACCGTTGAGTTTGTTTTGCATTCATGTCATTAAATACATTGTTAGGTAGAATAATAACACGTTATATAGATTAAACATCTCCCTAACCTGAGTATAATCTCACATGTACTCTAAGCACCGTAGTATATTACTTTGAGGAGACATTGAGTAGGCATTGTATGCTGTCGGAATGACTTTACGTAAATCCCTGCGTCAATGGACCCGTGAAGATCCGGGATAGAACAGATCTTCAACAACCCATTCTTGGCGTAAAAGGGCGAGAGCGCTTGTCGTAAGAGGCGACTACCGGGATCGGGTGGTCAGGTTCGCTGACCTGGTTGATGCATGTCAACGTATCCTACTTGCGTGTATCGATGCTCATGATGTCAATCACTGGATTGTCTGGTCAAGACTCGATTATTTACAGACCGCCGTCATATAGCTGAAATATTGCTAAGTGCGGCGTTAAACAACTAACAAACAAACAAAACTTTGAGGAATTCACAACAATCACTATGACGAGGTATGCATATCTTGCAATCAACCTGAATCCAGTTACTGGAATGTCAAACCCGGGCTTGGTTAAAACAAGAATTGCAGTTAGATCCGCTACATGTCATAGATCTCCTGTAGTCCAGAGATGCAATACCGAGGCAGCAATGTCAATTTATGAGGGACAGACAATTACTCGAACATATATAAACAGAGCAGCCAAAGATAAAAATGAAATCATATCATGTACGAAAATAGAAATCATATCAACACAAAAAGAGAAAGTGTATGACTACTAAAACTTGCAATATATATGCGTACCCTACGTACACACACGAGTCCCATTCGACAGTCTACAAAACAGTTTGGGTACCCCTTGTGTTCAGGCAAGTTATTTAATTCAATAATTTTGTATTAAAATCCTTTTCAATTTGTTTTCATCATTTTCCCTATTCCATTCCATGCTTGTTTATGTTGCTACATCTTATTGCTCATGTTCCCAAGTATTATAAAACACTTTAATGTTTCTCCTTCCTAATCTTATGTTAAAACATTTCAGGTCATTACCATCATCTAATACACAAGAGATAATACCAAGACATATTTAATTCGGTTTTATGGTCTATGCGGTCTTACAATTGATTTTATTAGTCTTTAAATCTTATGTCTGGTACATATTTTCATAAACAGGGCTGTTAGCTAATATAAGGAAGGTAACATCCAGTTGAATTCCCAGTTGACGTATTTACTTTTTTTAATCAAATATGAGGACTGTATACGACATCCGTTAGTCTCTTAACGACGTTTCTACATTTAATATTTTGAATAAGCCGTTGATATGCCAGTTGTGACAGGGATGATGGTATGGTAGCTGTAGCAGATAGATTGACAGGCGTTGTTACGTGCGTCACCAGGTAATTAGTACGACATTGACCTTGTTGATTGTTACTATACTTTGAGGATTTCTGTGGCCAGTGGCGGACGTAATTCAAACTCCTTCCACACTGACACCGCAACAAATATATTTGTGTACCGATTACATAACTCTTACGGACAGGGTGGGGTGGTAGTTCACCGGACGTCACTGTGTATATTGGGCGGCTCCTTTGATATCTCCACCAAACATACTTTTATTGAATGACCCATTAAACGATGATACACATCTCGTTGAATATATCAAGGCACTAATTCATCTTTCATAAGCTTTTTTTGTATCTGTGCTTAATATATCCACATATCAACGAAAATATGAAATACATGTATCCACACAAAAAATATACATATACAGGCTAAGTATTTGCCCACAGCAACACCTGCATAACTGTTTATTCACGCGTGGTGTGGTAGATCGTAATTGACCGAGAGCAGGTATTGTGGAATCACCTGTAAATAATGCCGACACTGTAATTAGATACAACGTACTAATGTGAGTGAGTGAGTGAGTTGGGTTTAACGCCACTTTTAACTGTATTCCAGTTATATCGCGGAGTGTTAGCTTAATGTGGGAGGAAAGCCCGATGTGATGGAGGTCTCAGACGTTTACCACTTCGGTGAAACCCACGAGCACGGGTATGGTGCTGACAAACCTAGAAACATAATCGGGGCGAACCGGGATTCGAACCCACAATCATAGGTTTCTGGTGTGACCAAGGGACGCAACGCTGCACAGCGAATCGCGGCGCCTTAGACGACTGGGCCACCCGTGCCTCCCGTACTAATGAGAATATGAGAATTATCATAAGAAGGCTGTTGTTTTTTTCTGAACTGTTACCATTTTCATACCAAAAGTGACAATGCATTTAAAAGTTGCTTTAGTGTCATAATATTCACATCGCACCGCATATAATGAAATAATTATTTCGGGTTTTCGCTAGAATGTGAGATATTCAGCTAGACGTTATGCAATCAAATACGAATTGGGTTTTGTCCCCATTAAAATACGCTCACGTGTACCTGTATATTGCATATCTAGTGTTACTTAATTTCCAAGTGTGATGTATCAACGAGACATAAAATGGGAAATGAAAAAGAAACAAACTTAACTTTGGAAAATAACGCCAATGAATTGGTGTACACGCGCATGAATTCGTATGATAAACTGTCAAAACGTTTTGAGAGATAAGGCCGGGTTCATTAAAGGTCGTTCATTAAAGATATGTAAAAAAGGTGAAATTTGTAAAACTTCTGCAAAGGAAACATCCAACCAAAGGCCCTTTTTAAATAGTAATGTAATGATATAATACAAAGTGTGTTTCACATGATACAATATGCTTTGTAAACAATTAGTTAATTCTTTAAAGGGACTGACGAAAACATGGGAAAAATATTTTAATAACGCCCAAAATTAGTTGAATTAACTTAAGAAGAGTCGAATCATGTGTCATGTTTATAATCCCTTATTGTATTTGCGAAACTAAAACTGTTGAGCATGGGAAATATTCTTTTTCTCGCCCATGGGCGAAATATTTCAATATCGTTATAAAATCGTTGAATTAAGTTAAAATGAGTTAAGTTTTGTGTCATGATACTTGAAAGATATACATAAATGTATTTGCGAAACATAAACATGTGTTTTAAGTAAAGGAACATGTTCTCGCCCATGGGCCAAACCTTTTTCTCGCCCATGGGCGAAATATTTCAATATCGCTATAAAATCGTTGAATTAAGTTAAAATGAGTTAAATTTTGTGTCATGATACTTGAAAGAAAGAAATTTATGCATTTGCGAAACAAAACCATGAGTTTTAAGTAAAGGAACATATTCTCGCCCATGGGCCAAACCTTTTTCTCGCCCATGGGCGAAATATTTCAATATCGCTATAAAATCGTTGAATTAAGTTAAAATGAGTTAAGTTTGGTGTCATGAGGCTAGAAAGATATACATAAATGTATTTGCGAAACAAAAACATGAGTTTTAGGTAAAGGAACATATTCTCGCCCATGGGCCTGCCTATGGGCCACACTTTGCCCATGGGCAGGCCAGTGGGCGACATAGTGTAAATATTGAGTTTTTGAACAATTTTTTTTTCATTTTTTCTTCCTTGGTATGTTCCCATGAAAACAGCATGTTTAATTTTTTAAATACCGTAGAGTTTCTGGACTTTAAAATGACGTGTTATTTAATTAAATGAAACTACCAGGGCTTACTTACCGTTCTCCATCCACGTGTCGTGTCAAGTTTCGTGGACTCTGTGGCGATGTATGTCCCAGTATTAATGTCCGACTATCAACAGTGACTGACACACAAACTATACTGCCTACTTTCTATTTCCTCTGTCAGTAGCGGCGGGCTAGCCTAGTGGATAAGCGTTCATTCGTCACGCCTCAGGCCAAGTTTTCATTCTCCACAAGGGTACAATGTGTAAAGCGCACTTCTGGTGTTCCCGTAGTGATATTAAGGCATATTGCTGAAAGCGTAAAACTATACTCAGTGATATTCCTTCTCCAAATCATTGTCATGCCAAGACAAGAGACCGGTGTCTGAACTTAGTGGCTCGCGGAAGCGTACAATATGATTTTAATATTATTTTAGTTACATCACTTGCATGTCAGCTTAATGTGAAAAGGATGCAGGTCATGGACGCTTACAGTTTTGAAACCCATGAGAATGAATAGAATTATAATGATGACAACCAAAAGATCATTAGCTGGAATATAAACTCGCGATATCGATTCAACCTGTAGAAAAAAGCATCGTCTTCGAGAATGTAACAGAGATGTTATGGTAGCCTAGTGGTTAAAGCGATTGCTCGTCACACAGAAGGTCCAGGTTCGATTCCCCACATGGGTACAATTTGTGAATCTCATTTCGGATGTCCCTACCGTGGCATTGCTGGAACACAGCTAAAAACTAAAACCAAAATAATTACTCACTCAGTCCCTGTGACAATAATTACTTTTTTGGATAAAATATTTTTTTTGGAAATGTTGAAGGTAAATACTTACTAAATGTTTGTCTTTTCTAATAATTTTTTTTTTTCTTTACCGCAATCTGATTCACGATAAAGTGTTAGTCAAGCATGCAGTGCGAAATCAGCCTCTCGCGTATACGACAGTCACAATAATATGATTTTACAAGATTTACACAATCTAGTTTTTTTTTGTGAACTCCCTCCTTGGTGTACTGTGACTGTATCAAACCCGACTGATATACCCCATCGCTATCAAACATTGACACAATATAACTATCTTTCTTTAAAAGGCTGTCGCTTCCTCTTCATCAAAAGGGCGTTGAGTGTCGTACTTACCTTTATCACGATTATACCTGAAGCGCGATCGCCTGGTCAGAGTAAATGAATTGTATTCTACCCTGGTCTGAACAGAATATCAGTTACACCACAGTGGGGGAGAAACCCGGAGGAACCAGGATACACGTCATAGACGTGTTCAACACTGGTGAAGTCAGCCAACACTAGTATGATTCTTACAAACCACAAACAGGTCGCATCCACGATTGCAATTATTTGCCAATGGGACGATACTCTTCACACCGATTTGGACGATCAGGCCACATGATCTGGTGAGAGTTTATATAATTAACTCATTGTCGATTTTGTTGCAGGCGATATAAAAAAGATCATAATTTATGTAAGTATGCATGTCTAGTATGGTTGATTATTAATAAAATAGCGTATCGATACTTGTAGTTTTAGAAAATATTGCATCATATCTTAATTTGTGTGACAAACTAATTTAATGTTGCAGTTCTTACACTGTTCTTTACAGTGCTGGTCGAAATTAATTACCTTTCGAAAAGTATAAAGAAACAGTATATGTGAGGTGTTGATTCCACAAAACGATTGCAGCTATAACAGTAACGAAGAATAATCAAGTGCTGATATATAATTCTTGTATTTCATTACAGTGTTGATGTACAGCGTTAACCTTCTGTGGTAACTTCTTGCTCATTTCCCGAAGGATGCCAGCGAAAAGAATTGCTCTATCTTACCAAGAACTTGGCTTTAGGAATTACCAGCAGTAATGCCGTTTTAAAAGGTATTTCAGTTGTGTAAGGGCATGGCGTGGTCAGCTCAGTGAGGGAGGAACGCTTAGATAGATATGTAGTTCTATGGTAAAACCCACGAGGATCAAATCAGGGATTCAAACCCACGACAATAAGATCCTGACAAGGGACGTAACTCCATGGACCGCTAGGTCACCGGTATTCACGGAAATATCGAGTTGTTTCTGTTATCTAGGGGAAATCAAGATGCGTGGCTTGCTCTTTTGTCATTAAAACCACTTTCGAAACATGTTACCGAAAACCTTCCTGTATTGTTTGCTTTGATTCAAGCTTAGACACGATCTCTGGAACAGGCAACCTAACACACGGAAACAAAACACGTTACGGTGGTTGGGTGAGTTGGGTTTAATGCCGCTTTTAACAGTATTCCAATTACCACACGTTGTTTAGAATATGTTTAATTTGATATAAATACTTTGAAAATTCAATAATTGTGAAATGCCACGTTTTTTCATCAATGTCATTGTTGTCTGCACCAAGAAAGAATGCTAACATATCGTGGTCTTCCATCATCTCTATTTTAACATACATTTCAACATCAAGATTATCAATTAGAGTTGAAAAGAATAAATCTCTCTCTGAAAGTAGACATTCACAGTTTAAGATGACATGGTGATAAAAATCATGAGTATTTAGCGAGCCTTGGCGAGCTAAATACATAGCGTTTATTCCTAATACAGGATATTTACCATTCCCAAGCACAAAAGCGTGATAACCTCTTTATCATATAATGTCATTCTTTAAGTCTGTGCTTCAAACTCGCTTTCTCTCTTTCACAAATATTACCGAAACATTGCGAGTTTTCCTGGAATGCGCGCATTAATATTTATTACGTCACAGGGTAAGTGATGTATCAGTCGGACAGTGACAGTAGCCAATATAGTTCCAACTGGAATCAGTTTCTCATACACTGGCGAAGCAACATATACGCAAAACAACAATTGTTTCTAATTGCCTTTCGCGGCAATCCATCGGTCTGTCCGCTAGAGTAACTGCCCTTTGTCAAAGGGAAGCTACTCTAACCCTAGTCTATGAGACGTCACGGCCACGGTCAGACGTTGTTGACAGTCGGTCTGTCCTGTCATAACGTTAAGAAGTGTAGTCAGATGTACACACAGCGACAAAACGAAACAAGGTAACAATTCAAACATATTTCGGCCAAATCCAACTATTTTAATTTGTGGAGAAGGTTTCAAGCCGCAGAGGTCTACAAGCACAGAAATGGCTACTGATCCCGCTGGCTAGGCCTCGTGCCCTCGCAAAATTTGTTTCGAAATTTATATCTCCAAAGTTGCCAAAACTTATAAAATGCCTTAGCTACGTCACAGTTAGACACTGATTTTCAGTATATTAGACTGTTCTTTTGATAATGATAGCAATTATCCCTATAGTTTATCTAGATTCCCGATGGTTAATTCTGACTCGATCACCGAATGACGAGGGCGACGTCATGTTTGTTTATAAACAGTGAAAGTAGTCCCTACTTGACCTTTGATATTTGCATCTCTATCCGCATATGACCCCAACGGATATCGTTTTTATGCGTTGGCTTTATCCTGCCGAGAAACCTACCCATTATATGATGAATAGATATACTCCGAGCATATCTACTTATTCATCAAACCTTTCTCAGATACTATTCCAAAACTTAGCAAAAAATACTGATGCTAAGTTTCTTCCACAAAAGCTTAAAGATGAAACACATTTATCGAGATTGCTATATTTTCCAGTCAGTTATTGCACCGGCTGATTAGCTCCCTTAGACCTGGGCACCAGCGGTCAATAGGGGTCATACTAGTATATATCCATATGTCTGTCCTTAGGTGCTTCGTATCATGAGTGTACTCTCTGTGTTTAATTATTTGTCGTTATGGCGCAATTCTATTCAAAATACCCTAGGCTAGTTTACTTATTGAAAAGTATATAAACAATTCTTGACTCAGTGGTATATTATATTACAATTGTAAGGTTATAAACATGTTAAAAACATGTTAATGATTTATAAATGTAACCGTAATGACCCGATATGTTTAACAGATATCGTGTTGTATTACGCAAATACTTTGTTAAACTGTTGTTGTTTGTTTAGATACGGATTTCTATCAAATGATAACATCACCATCATGAAATAACAAAATGTTGTAATGATATTATCAATATCCTATGTTACTTTGGATTTATCAAGAATTGAATGTATTGACAAAGAAGGAGCAATTTTTTTGGTTTATATTTCAAAGAATCTTTTGGATTATATAAAATTCTTTAACTGTAAGAAACCGCCATCTGAATTAGTTTCTATTACGAAACAAATTATATTTTGACAGTAAAAACTATCAGATATCCTTTAATTACATTGTTTTGATAAACTAATGCAATTTAATTAAGCCATTTGAGCAGATAAGAGAGGTAGAAACGTACAGTAATCACACGTGTAGTGTGACTCTTTCATGTACTTGCCTTATCTTTTGTTTCCCCAATGTAACAGGTGTTAAACCGTTAAGCTCATTGTCAAAGACCGGACATTAATGAAGGGATTTGTATTAGATAACATTAGATCGGGTTGAGGAAATATCGAAAGTGTTTTCCGTAGCTGCATTGGAATTTGAGTCAATCTATGTTATTTAACTGGCAAAATTTCTAATTATTTATTTTGCCTTTCTTAACATTTTCCTATTGTTACCAGCACTTCCTATATTTGGGGGAGGCGTCGTCCTGTCTCTCGTGTATAATGCATAGAAAGGAACACAGTGTGAATAGTAGGATTCGAGTTGATATTTATCCATGTGTCAAGATCTAAAACTTTATACCAAAAATAATAGTCCAGCCAAATAAGTATCGTAAACTAAATCCCTGAAAAAAGTTTTAAGTAGTTTTATCTTTTCACGTATTAAAATAATGGACCCATTTTCCAATATCAATCTGTACTAAAAATAACATGTTTTCAGTTGACTAACATTTAAACAGAAAATAAAGAATGCTACATACCTCACAAGACATTAAGATTTAAATTTCAAGGAATGGTTTGTTGTACGTACTTGAGAGATTGCTGTCAATATGACACTTCACCTCAGGGTGTCAAAGGTATGTATAAATGCAAGAGCGATGCATAAAAAAATCATGTATGTGCCTGGTGCGTACGCAATCGACCATTTGGGTAATTGTCTTGTTATCTTAGCAATTACTGCCGATATGATATGTAAGTGAGAATGGATTTGAGGGCACGCAATCACACGGACTGGAACAAACTTCATGAAGGAGATTTACTTCCAGATTTACCAACAATGTTACCCTTCCAGGAGTGTTCTGCGTGGAGCGGTTGATACAAAGAAAGAAAACTCAAAAGGTAGGTCAACTTAAAGTGAATTTGTGCTTTTTACAGTTTTAATGTCTACAGCTCTCAAGTTATTCCTAAGCAATCGGAATATTAAAATACTTCTTAAAAGGTACCATAACGTGTCAGAGCATTCACAGACTAACAGATAATATATGGCGTTGTTCTGTTGAGCTGCATTCAGTCTTGGCATTCTGTCACCGCATCTACTGCCGTTATAAGGAGTGTATGAACAGCCGTTGATGTGGATTTTTATAACCATTCAGCAGGGGGGCCTGCATGCCTAAATGCAGGATCCTGTGCTGCACGTTTTTACAGGCGGTTGCGTTTGGATGAAGCTGTAAAATTGATCCCTAAACGATACATTTTTGTGCTTTGCATGTGTTTTCGCGAATTATAGACACATCGTCTTTCTGTTTGACTTATTTGGTTCTCATTTAATGTAATTATTTTAGATATTTGGCAAAAAGTGGTTTTACATCTATGTCACGTTTCTTGTGTTGGAGAGTATAAATATGTTTATATAACAACACTTTGATTAATTATTTGCTGAAACAGTTAGCAAAATGTAAGCAATCTGTAGATGTAATATTAGTTAGTCCATCCCTAACCTTATCAAGGAGAAATATATAAAAACCAAACCATAATTCCGAACAGATGATGTATTCCGAATTGACTGTATACATTTATATCACGCCTTTACGCCCTTGGTGAAATACAGTAATATAAGTAGCAGTGCTTTTAAAAGTACTAACCGAGTTTATTGTGTCACAATCCTGAATATGGTTAAAAGTTACATTTACTTGTAAGTAAAGCATTGTCTGGCAAAATTGCTCTCTGAAGGTGAAAAGGTCTTTTAAAGATTCATTGATATTACGATTGCTATCCTCTGGCAGAATAAAATTACCAATCAACACTGTATTTTTATTAAAATCCTTAACATGGATCTAATATAACTATAATGTATACAAAAAGGAAATTAGTAATGAAGGCGGTCTTTGTGTGGCATTTGACTGAATGCGTTCAGAGCGTCACGGGTATATTGCCTTATTAATTATCCTCTAGACTAAGTTTCGACGCTAATATGACTGCACGATTGTTGATGATGGTTGAGTAAAGCAACAATTTCTTGCTCAACATCAACGAATACAATACTAGTTGTGAAATATGTTACTGATAAAAGCTGATTTTACCAAACATTTTCTATCCGACCACTGGTGGTATCATGACAACGTCCACGGAGAGGGAAGGTGTGAGGACTTCCCTGTGAGGGTATGGCCGCGTGTGAGGATGTCTTCCACCTGGGTGGTCCGTGATCGTCGTGTGCTTCTCGTGAAGAACACCACGCTTAGTAATCTCTACACGTTAATTGTGGTGAGTTTACTCAATTTAAATGTGGGACACCCATTTAAGGGTATCGGTAATCTGATTAACTAATTACCGGCTAGAGTAGGTGAAATGCACACAGCTGAAAATGTGGCGCATTCGGCAATTCTCATTTTTTGAAATGTGGCTCAACCGGCTAGACACCGTCGAGACAGTACTTTTTGTTGTGCTCACTCGAGATGTTGTTGTGTTCACTTGTGATGCAGTCATCATTTCAAAGTGAAAATGAAGTCAAAACAACTCATGGCTTTTTGTATATAGTGTATATAGTTTTCCCGCAGTAACCTTAAATTGTCTGTTCAAATTTAAAATGTCTGACAACATTACGTATGCACAGAACTTGAAATTCAAGGACTCTTTATCATTTTCCACTGAGGTCAGTCCGTTTCTGAATAAGAAACATTTAGAACGTGCTGACAAAATTGCTATATATTTGGTTGTTACTCATAAATTTCTGAAACAGCTCCATAGTGCAAAATGTCGCTATGGTAATCTGCCATACATAGCCATTGTAAATACTCAACTAAGGAACATGCAGTTATGTCAGACAGACGGGATGGAAACACACATTGGACGTGTTTGTGGCTCAGTGTCTTCCAAATTGAAAAGTAAATTTAAATCTGGCAGAAAAAGGGAACTTTTATGGTTGAAAAACACTGTTTTTCTTTATTTTCAAGTGAGCTACTGTGTGTTCAAGGGGGTGGTAACGCTACAGTTACTGAGTTATTAGGCGATGGAGTAGAGCAGGAATTACACTGCCAAGAAGTTTGGCACACGCTCTCTGGTCAAGGGTCTGCACCTCTACACGCAGCTAAGTCTGATACAACGTATGAACACATGCACATGATATTGTCGGAATCGTGCAATCGACTTGTGAATATGGAATGGGTTTTATCGTTTTTATCGGCACAGTTAAGACACTAGGTGAGGTGAAATGGGGTTTAACGTCGCGTCCAAGATTATTGCACATGCACGCGTGTGTGTGTAGCTGCTTGTACTAGTCCAGATGGCGATTCATAGTGCTAGCCCACTGAGATACCATGCCGCACCAACACAGACACAGTCTACTGACTCCGAGCCGACCAGTCCTTGTTTTAGACTGACCCTCAATGCTGAGCGACAGGCAGGGTAACAACAAGTACCACCTTTTAACCTCTTTTGGTATCACGTGGCCGGGGATTGAACCCCAGACCTTCCGCTCTCCGGGAGGACGCTAAACCACTAGACCACGGAGGCGGTCGTTAAGATACAAACTATGTATAGCAGTACACATGTATTATTGGATTTGTGTAACGCTCGTTGGGATTTCAGGTTAGAATAGGCCCGTAGCAACCTTTGCTGGTCGAAAAACGCTGTGAAATGGATCGGGTGTTCAAGCTCGGCACCTTGGTTGATTCCAGCGTGCATCGTTGCTCACAATATCGACCACTAGATAATCTACAGACTTGATTATTCACAGGCATCCGTCATATAGCTGGGATACTTTGAGGGTATCGTTGAAATTACAGACAAACAAACAATTAGAATAAGTCAGCATAGTCTCATAGTCTGTTCTCGCAGTTGATTCTGAGACAGGAATCCACTGGCCATTCTAAACGAGCATTCTGAACAAAGTAAAAATTGACGAAATTAGAGGTCACAATGCAAAATGATGGAGAAATTATGTTTTACTGTACTAAATGACGAAGCATCCGTGTAGAAACATCTTTTTAAAACTTATGTTGTGTTAAACAGTTATTTCACTTCATCGGTCTTCAGTTGATACCCAGCGGTCACTGTGATGACCGCACATGAAACCAGTCGTTTGCTTTCGTTTCCGCACCATGGTAAGAATGTGAGACTTTCTTCCGGCATTTCACACACAGCAAGAAGGGAACCGAAAACCCATCTCTCCCATTAGGGTAGGACATTCAGTGTAAAAGTGAAACTTGCATTGCTGTATATCCTAAATAATATTTTATCATATCTTATCATATGTGTACTGGCAAAGGAATACTAGTGTCAATAAAGAGAATCTTCAGCCAGGTATAAATGTCTACGAAACTGATGAAGCTTCTTATCCCGGCCCCTGTCTGTTCATAAAGTATGTGGCTGTTATATGATGATGTTCACAAACTACAGTTTCGTGATTCTTTGACTCTAGATCGATTGTTTTATTTTGAAAGTAATATCGATACGCCGATATCAATATATAACATTGGAATTCTCAGCGATATAGTCGAGAGAGCATTTTATTTGTGACAATTCTTTCAAAATTTGTGTAATATTCATTTATGGCTAAAATTTATAGAAGTATCATTAAACCGCCCACATGTTATGGGCGGGCCATTGTAACTTGATAATGCCCTCATACTGCTTGACGACGGGCCATTTTCACTCCCGTTGTAGAGTGATGTCATAGGGAGTCAGCTTTTGACGTCATCTGGTTTGTTCTACGACGTTTCCATGTTTATAAAAGTGGGTCAGTGACATTCGTTGTGTGTTAATTGCAGTTAATGTTTCAAAACTGACATTGTAGTTTATTTTTATTTGATAACAAATTCTATCCATTTTAGCAATAACGGTGACGCTATTTTTCAGGTAATTATCATTTGCGGAAACCCTCGGTCTTTTCAACTGCCTTCCTTCGTCCGCAAATGATAATGCCCTGAAAAATAGTGTTACACTGATGATAAAAATATTTACATATTACCAGGCAGTCTCCGTGGTCTAGAGGATAGAGCGTCTGACAGGTGAGCGCAAGGTGGCCAGTTCGATCCCCGACCGTGCCATGCTATAATACGTTAACAGATGGCACTTGTAGTTACCCTGTCTGCCATAAAGAACATAAACAGGACAGATTTGCTTGGAGTCAGTATACTGTGTCAGAATTGGGTATCCATGATAATCCCAGGCCGGGTCATGCCATCAGACGGTAACAGATGGTACTTGTTGTTACCCTGTCTGCCATTAAGGGAATTAAAAAAGACAGGTTTGCTTCGCGGTCAGTATTCTGATAATGTGCGGCATGATATCTCACTGGGCTAGCCCGTAGATGTACATTTAGCCCCCCCCCCCCCCCCCCCCCCCCCCACACACACACACACACACACACACGTGCATGTACGTCGCTGTATAAGTGTCAAACCAAAATGGACCTCACATGATTGCATGACATAAATATAAAAGGTCAACTATCATTCATATTCTTATAGAATAGTGCATGAGTGAGTGAGTGGTTTTACGCCGCTTTTAGCAATATTCCAGCAACATTACGACGGTGGGGAATCGTCCTCGGCGTGACGAGCGAAGGCTATAACATGCTAGATGATTTGACGTCAACTCCAATTCATATCGCAACAAATTACGTATCGACAACAATGAAAACGAGTAAAGGTAATACAATTTAATCAATTAACATACAAGCAAAATATACAAACATTTTTTATTTTTTAAAAACACACATTAAACATGTGCTTTAGTTGTATTTTTAACCTATGTACACAAACATAGCCCATCAACAATAGAACTTTGTGTTCTTGTAAAACATTGATTGTATCAAGTTAAGCTTATATGACAAGGGTGAACTGGTAAGTGGTCCCTCTATGGGATACAAGCAACGAGCTATGATATCTACAGAGAACTAACTATATGTACATTCAATCTCATCACGAAGTGCAATTCAACGATTGACAAATTGAAACCTTTTCTCTTCCTTCAGGTCGACATGGTTCCATATGTTACAAATAAGGTAAGATCAGCAATATGACATTGTGTCGGAGTCAAGAAAATATGGGTACTTCATGATCAGTTAGAGATTTAACCCCAAGCTTGAAATAACACATGTTGACTTTCGAAACGATATCAGATTCAAAGAGTCTGTCGACGCTTTGCCTTCTCCTCAAACGTTTCCTTGTCACCCTTTTTCACTCTGAAAGTTACCCTGTTTTGTTGTCGACGACGCCTGCAATCGGAAAATATATTTACAGTAAACTACGTTTATAACAAACACGCTTATAACGAACTGACCAACATAACGAACTTAATTTTAGTCCCGGCCATTTGTTGTATATATACTGTATATATGTTTATAACGAACCATGGTTATTACGAACTAAAATTAGTGGTCCCTTTGAGTTCGTTATAACCGTAGTTTACTGTAACATATAATCTTGATGCTTATCTGCAACATGTATAACGCACTCTTCCGTTAAAATACATACCATTTTGGGTGCAAATAGTCACCATCACTCATTATGGCCTCAGTTCGTTCTAGATCCAATTACTACTATTGTTATGGACCTTGACATTCAAGGAACAAGATACATAACGTATTTACCGTATAAAACTTATCGAACGCCCTGGCAAAAACACAATACTATATATATACGGCATATCGATAAATGATCCGTGTGATCATTTTGTAAACGTTTTTATGGTCTAATTAGCAGTAAATTAGAACTCAATTAAAGAATATAAGATAATTAGGGCAATTTCAGACTATAAACTTACCACAGAACGAAGCCGACAGCTGCAACTATTCCGAGGATCAGCATCACCACTACAATCGCAACCAGAGCTCCGTTTGAGGCTGATCCTGAATCCGGAGAGTGAGCTGTAGGCAATAATTTCATAACATTGTACGAAACAAGGAAGTCATTGCCTTATTGCAATGTACGTGTGTTGGGTGACGTCCACAAGGGTACATTACAATAGAGGTTTTCCTTCTGTCTATGTCAGTCAGATAGTCATCTGGGTCAATCAGACGGTTTCTCTAGTGACTAATTTAATAAATCGTTATGGTAAGTTAAACTCATTCCGCTGTCATGCAACTCTATCGATATGGTTTAGGGCAATATGCTGGGGAATATGCTTGGGGAATCGAGCCAATCATTTACAGAAAGATGTGTGAGACAGATATATATCGACAAGTAGGATGAAATTATAAAGCACACCTTTTCCCGTAAGTCTTTGTGTCGTAGTTACCTCACGTGTCGTTTGTGTGGTCGGCGGCAGTTCACTGCTATCATCTGACAAGTTGAAGTAAACATTTCATTGATTTACTTTAGTTATGCACCTTTTGGTCCTCACTTTCACGTTAACAACACATGCATTATGTATACAGTAACTTACAATGATCAATTACCATGGCTATGCTTTGTTTGTTTGTTTGTTTGTTTGTTTGTTTGCGTTTTGTTTAACGCCACACTCAGCAATATTCCAGCTATATGACGGCGCACTGTAAATAATCGAGTCTGGAACAGACAATCCAGTGATTGACATCATGAGCATCAATCCACGGTATTGGGATACGATGACATGCATCAACTAAATCAGCGAGCCTGACCACCCGATCCCGTTAGTCGCCTCTTGCGACAAGCATAGTCATCTATTACGGCAAGCATGGGTTGCTGAAGACCTATCTACCCGGATCTTCACGGGTATGCATTGTAATAGACTCTTCATCACCAGGCTGTAAAACGTGTCAGACTCTTTAAAAATTAACTACTAGCTGTGTTATATACGTATCTGGATATTGCATATATTGTTTTGGTCGACATTTCAAATTCTAATATCTAGCAAGACATATTGAAAAAGTTCATGATCACTTACTGACAACTTTGAAACAGGCTGTCTTGGCGATGTAGTCGATGTTGTTGCTGATGGTGCAGTGCGCACAGCCGTTGTCTCCCATTGACACGTCGCGAAACGTTACTTGAGATTTGTCAGAACTTATGATCATCTTCGCGTCTGTAACACAGGTATATAACGAAAACGGCATTACCAACACAAAGGATTTACTACACACACCTTTTTGGTAAATTAGCTTTAGCATTGCATGACAACTTAATGATAATGAGAAAAGTCAAAGAAATTGTTATATCTACCTTCACCTCTTCGGTGAAACCAACAAGCACCGTGAAGATCCGGGATAGAACAGGTCTTCAGCAACCCATGCTTGTCGACTAGCGACGGTTGGTCAGGCTCGCTGACCTGGTTGATGCATGTCATCGTATCCCAATTGCATGCTCATGATGTCAATCACTGGATTGTCTGGTCCAGACTCTATTGTTTACAGACCGCTGTTATATAGCTGGAATATTGCTGAGTGCGGCTTAAAACAACAAATAAACAAACAAAAGGTGTTGTTCTGACAGGATTATACTGTTGATGGTGAGGTGAGGTGAAATTGGGTTTAACGTCGCGTCCAAGATTATTGCACTTATATAGCGACGTGCATGCACGTGTATGTGTGTGTGTGGCTGCTTGTACTAGTCCGGACTGATGCCGATTTATAGTGCTAGCTCACTGAGATACCATGCCGAAGTTTAACATGAATACCCCACTCAGACACAGTATACTGACTCCGAGCCGACCAGTCCTTGGTTTAGCCCCTTAATGCCGAGCGCCAGACAGGGCAACAACAAGTACAATCTTTTAACGTCTTTTTGTATGACGCGGCCCGGGATCGAACCCTGGACCTTCCGCTCTCCGGGCGGACGCTCTACCACAAGACCACGGAGGCGGTCTACTGTTGATGGATGTGGTCACGTCCAAATAAACTGAAGCTGATACTCACCACCGTCGGCCCAGGACGTGACCATGTCCGACGTGGCACCTACAGCCCTTGCCTTGCACAGGAACGTCACATTGTCCCCTTCCAACACCACCTGGTTGTTCGGTGCATTCACCCACAGAGGAGCAGCTGCAAAGTAAGGATGCTCATTGGGGAGATGCAGTGTATACATGTCCCAATAACATTAATTTAATTCTTTTGTGGATGAATATTTTAGAATGGACGGAAACGAGAATATAATTATGGTGAGTTTCAAATTAATCAGGGCGAAACAACAGATCTCCATGTGGAAGAGTCGTTTTGATAATAACAATGTTACATTGTATTATATGAATAGTCTTCACACTATGAATACAATAATAACGCAATGTATAAAAAAGACAACCGCAGATTGATAAGGATTCACAATTCAACAGTAATGGTACTGGAATTGTATTCACTTGACAAATACATGTACGAGTCTGAACATATTGAAGCATTTAACTTACAAACAATGGTTAACTTGATGGTAATGTGTTTGGTGCCAGCAGCATTAGATCCGGCACACTTGTAACTGCCCTCGTCGTTCTCCTGCACGCTGGATATTCTCAGAACACCACCATTTGGGTTGTCATCTTTGCTGGTGAGCATCGTGATGTCTTTGCCGTCTCGAGTCCAAGTCACGGCAGGAACAGGTCTGAAATACCACGATCCAGGTGCATACAGTCACTTGCATTTCTCTCATTATGGATCCATTCTGTGAGACATTTACTTATCGTGCTCAAGGTTGTGACCGTCTACGTCACATTGTGCCTTCCTATCTCAATGGATACCGTGCTACATGTAAGGCGCCACAGTTCGCTCTGCACTGTTGCCTCCCTTAGCCGTGCCAAGATCCGTTACTATGTCGTTCGAATCCAAGATTCACCCAGGTAAAGATCGTCATGGATTTCACAATGTCTATCAGAGTATCACGTGTGGCTAGTATTGTTATTTCGTTACGTCTCTACAGTTACGATCCTTGTAACAAAGGTTCTATAGCCCTTTGACACTTAAGCGATTTGACTCTCCTCGATAACTCATTTTGACTTTGAATTGCTCGGTTGTGTCTTCCATGTTAATTTAATCTAAATTAATCAGGAATTTAAAAGACGAAGTCCGGTTAACTGTAACTATTGCTAATCACGTGAAACAAGTAAGGTAATGCTTAAGTCCTTTATAGTATTGTACAATTAGCTTTGGTAGCTTTACTCAAAAAGTGGCATAAATACGTTATCACCCTTTTTGATAAGACTAAGTCACGTCCAGTTCAGGAAGAATATTTTTCTACACTATATTCGTGAATTAAGATTTGAAAAGAAAAGAATATAATTTGGATACAAAATATACAGTTCTCCATTAATTGTAGTGTTAGGCAGCTCAATAATGAGACCCAACTAACGTATTACATCTGATGATCTTTCAAAAATGGCAAAGAGAATTTCTAACATAAAAAGGTCAATGATACTGAAAATCAGAAGAGACTGACAACGTTCAAGGAACAAAAGTAAGATAAAAAGAGCACTACCTACATGTACATGTATGTCATCTGATCATGATTCGCAATATTTTTAATTTCATAATGGTTTTCAAGATTTAAAATAATGAATATAATGAAAAATATTCCGATCTGGCAGGATGTTTAAAATATTGTTTCAAAAACATAAATGGGGACTTCGATTTCGTTGCATAACATTTCAGTTTTGTAATTTAAAGAAACTACTTATGAAGCACTTTCCTTTCCTCAAGCTAGGTTAATCAGATCTGGCATATGATTCTAACGTGATTTGTTGCGTTGATCTAGGTCATCGGAATATTACAATCTACCCAAGGTTGCAGTTACCCATGTTGACATCCACAAAAATTGTAATTTGGAAGAATTTGGTATTATTTAGATTTCTTGCACACATTCCATAACCTATCCACGACAACCCATGCTGCAAGTAGGTATGTGCGACAGAGTGCACATTGTCACTTTCTACATGCACAGTTTACAGTCATGTAATAAAGGTTAAGGTAGACAATGATTTCTTACTTCCCGCTGAATATGCACTCCAGTTTCACTTCTGTACCGAGCACGGCAGTTGTCTCTTTGCTGTGCCAGATGACCCGGGGTTCAATTTGAGAAGGTACTGAAACATGTATTGACAGCGTCACTCTCGGATTGGTACAGTATTAATGAAACATAAACAAAGTAAATGGTAGTTTCAAAAGGAAGAAGTTGTTATTTGGTCTAGTCTGCTGGCCATAGACATATTTCATGGGAAACCAATGAAGCATTCATCGTTCACTGTAACCCTATTCTTACGCTGGTAACGCGTCAGACGGTTTTCCCATGTCGTGTAGAAGTTGTAAACTAAATGAATATCAAAAGTACAAAAGACGAGTTGCCTACCACCGCTTCCGCCGACGGTGACCCTCACAGGACTGCCAAGCTTTCTCGTGGCCAACCGACTGTTGTAGATGCCGCACTTATAGGACCCGCTATCAGATTCTTTTACGAAAGCAAAGTGAAGTGTCCCTGCAAGTAAATTACACACTGTTGAGCTACTATTGATTAGACAAAAAATGTTGTAAATGGGTGTGAAAAATAAATTATTTCAAATCACTAGGATTGTCATATACATTGCATATATTGGGATGGATATTTCGTTTGTTTTTATACCTTTGCCATCCATCGTTACTCTGTTGTCCAAGGACACGTCCCCACCAGCAGAATCCTGAGACCGACTGAAACTCCAGACGATCGTCGGGGGCGGGGCGCTGTAGGGCGGATCCTTGCAGTCCAGAGACATGTGCTCTCCGGAGGATTTGGTCATCCGTGTTTCAGGAACATCCCACTGAGTGGCTAGTCCTGCAAAATGTAAACTCATATACCATACGGGTTAGCATTAGGACGACAACCAATACAAAACTGCGTGAATGATTTAATGGCGTAAAGCATGATAAAGATTTGCACTCGTGTTAGACGTTAGTGACGTTAACCGTCACCCATGTCGTAATCAATTAGAAATATGTATGTCTTGACAATACCCCAAAATCACAGGAGATGTGAGGTGAAGTGCGGTTGAAGATTATTTCACTTATATTGCAATGTGCATGCACGTGCTTGTACCTGATTGTACAAGCTTTGGTTTATGCCGATTGTATAGTGCAAGCCAACGGAGATACCGCCGATTCACAAAAATACCCCTACATACATTATACAAACTCCGAGCTAAGGAATCGAATCACCGACATTTCTCACTCAACAAGAGGTCACATGTGATTGTTTTGTTTCTTTGTTGTTCAACGCCGCACTCAGCAATTTTCCAGCTATATGACGGCGGTCTGTAAATAATCGAGTCTTGAACAGACAATCCAGTGATTGACATCATGAGCATCGATCCACGCAATTGGGATACGATGACATGCATCAACCAAGTCAGGGAGCCTGACCACCCGATCCCGTTAGTCAAGCATTATCGCCTTTTACGACAAGAATTGGTTGCTGAAGACCTATTCTAACCCGGATCTTCACGGGTCAGGTCACACGTGAGCGTCAGCTGGAATGAATAGATTCATGAAATGAACATATCGTGAAATGTTCGATATTGGACATAGGCTACTGATGTTTTATACAACTGAAGTCATATACAACCAAGACATTCCAAATCATATATTGGTAAACATTATCTGTGTAAAGAATCTTACTGGCTTCAATCAGGGTGACAGCAGGGGAGATGTCATATCCATCATCGTTAAGTGCTTTGCACGTGTAGTTTCCATTTTCCCGTGAATTGAACTTTGAAAAGGTCAATGTCCCGTTTTCCGAAACCGAAAGATAAGGGTTCAGCTTTGGATCAAGCTGCACTTCATTTCTCACCCAGGTGTACCTGTGGAGGAAGCGTATGTTTACATGGGAAGGGGGACATTTGAATTGTCCAGGTTTGGGTCTTTGTAAATACTAATTAGTGAACATATATACCTATTTTTATTTTCGAAAATGGTGACATCTTTGTATATAATTCTGAATCGATGACAGGCTATGGATTTCGTGAGCATATTTCACGGATTTATTGCCTAAAATAGTGGCCTCGTATTTTTGACATATATTCCCAGTTGACTCGAACTTTAGGGTGCCAGATACATACTTAGACACACCCGACTCGACCTTATTACCGATTGACTTTGCCATCAGACAACCGAAACTAAACGTATCACATCGTGCATGTTAGGTAAATAACATCATATAATAAGATAAAAAAAACAGAAACATTTGTCATATCTACAATTTTGTATCTATGTCCATTATTTATTTACTGGTTTGGGGAGGGGTTGGGGAAGGATGCCCAGTCGTCTAAGGCGCCGCGATTCGCTTTGCAGAGTTGCGTCCCTTGAGCACGCAAGAAACCTATGATTGTGGGTTCGAATCCCGATTCGCCCCGATTATGTTTCTAGGTTTGTCAGCACCATACCCATGCTCGTGGGTTTCACCAAAGTGGTAAACGTCTGAGACCTGCATCACTTCGGGCTTTCCTCCAACATTAAGCTGACACGCCGTGATATAACGGGAATACCGTTAAAAGCGGCGTTAAACCCAACTCACTCACTAACTCACTAACTGGTTTTGAGGTCAGGGTAAGTTTTTATTATTGACAACTTCTGGGACGATAAGGAGCTTGAGACAAGCAAGACTTCAACACATCAAGTTCGACTAATCCGCATTTAAAATAGAGATAAATATCAGAAATGTTTGCCGCGAACGGACTGTGAGGTCGACACAACCGGGGATTCGACACATCCGAGTTCGAGACAACGGGATTCGACTGTAGTTAATGTGCCATGTATAACGTACGTGTAGGTTAAATTTTTATGGGTTTTTTTAAAGTATGCGAAAGAAGCCTTCACATTACCTTATTGGTCTGTCACCATCTGCCACACACGGAAGTTGGAATTCTTTTCGAGGAAGCGGATACTGAGTTTCTCTTATTCTTGGCTCAGTTATAGTTGGTTGAGAAGAACCTGGAATTTATTATATATTTTAATCAATTAATGTGATTTTGCCTTTCAGTGAGTTGTTTCCCAGCTATTTCTCAGCCGGCATTTACGAGACCAGACCTATCTAATTGTTCACAATGAAACCCCACTAATCTCCGGTTTCAAGAAAATTGTCCGCATTGATGAAGTTGCTGCAGTGACCATTGATTGAAAATATAACGAATGGTTGCTCATTAACAAATACTAACATAACTAAAGTATCCTTAACGTAGTGGATTATGGAAACCGTCTTTAATTAACAATTCAATGATCCTGAACTTATTTCATTAATATGATAACAGGCCAATTAGGCCTCAACTACGGTCATACATATGAACAGATCAATTAGGCCTGAACAACAGTCATACATATGAACAAATCAATTAGGCCTGAACAACAGTCATACATATGAACAGATCAATTAGGCCTAAACTACGGTCATACATATGAACAGATCAATTAGGCCTGAACTACGGTCATACATATGAACAGATCAATTGGGCCTGAACAATAGTCTTACATATGAACAGATCAATTAGGCCTGAACAACAGTCATACATATGAACAGATCAATTAGGCCTGAACAACAGTCATACATATGAACAGACCAATTAGGCCTGAACAACAGTCATACATATGAACAGATCAATTAGGCCTAAACTACGGTCATACATATGAACAGATCAATTAGGCCTGAACTACGGTCATACATATGAACAGATCAATTGGGCCTGAACTACGGTCATACATGTGAACAGATCAATTAGGCCTGAACAATAGTCTTACATATGAACAGATCAATTAGGCCTGAACAACAGTCATACATATGAACAGACCAATTAGGCCTGAACTACGGTCATACATATGAACAGATCAATTAGGCCTGAACTACGGTCATACATATGAACAGATCAATTGGGCCTGAACTACGGTCATACATATGAACAGACCAATTAGGCCTGAACTACGGTCATACATATGAACAGATCAATTAGGCCTGAACTACGGTCATACATATGAACAGATCAATTGGGCCTGAACAACAGTCATACATATGAACAGATCAATTAGGCCTGACCTACGGTCATACATATGAACAGATCAATTAGGCCTGAACTACGGTCATACATATGAACAGATCAATTAGGCCTGAACTACGGTCATACATATGAACAGATCAATTAGGCCTGAACTACGGTCATACATATGAACAGATCAATTGGGCCTGAACTACGGTCATACATATGAACAGATCAATTGGGCCTGAACTACGGTCATACATATGAACAGATCAATTAGGCCTGAACAATAGTCTTACATATGAACAGATCAATTAGGCCTGAACAACAGTCATACATATGAACAGACCAATTAGGCCTGAACAACAGTCATACACAAATTAGCATACTGTTTCTGCGCAATGAATCACACTGAGTATTATTTCCACGTGACGGAATATAAAGAAAGTGAGGTGAGGTAAAATGGGGTTTAACGTCGCGTCCAAGATTATTGCACTTATATAGCGACGTGCATGCACGTGTACATCAGCCCCAAAAACCAAGCTCTAGCTCGTAAACACCCCTTACTTACCCCAATATCCCAAAGAATAACAAACTACCTAAATGAACACCAAATTAAAAATCTTAAACAAAACTGCAAACAACCAAATATCTTCACCCCTAAACTTAAAATACCCAAAATAGACACAACACTAGCTAGCCAAATAAATAAACAAACCGACCCAAACATAGCTAAAACTACCACACTAGCATACATACACGAAAATTGGCCAAATTGGTGTCTCATTTACACGGACGGATCCTCAGATCCGACCTCCAAACACACAGGTTTCGGAGTCCATACCACACAACCAACTAAAACCACACAATCCTTCCGAATCCCAAACAACCAATCAATATTCACGGCAGAACTAATGGGCATGGCCTCAGCCTTCCATAATCAAGAATCCAAAAACCACAAAAAAAATCCTAATACTTACCAAACTCCCAAAGTGGACTGCAAGCCCTCCAAAACCAAAATACCCAAAACCGACCTAAATTAATAAATCAAATACCTAAAAGCTCCAACGACCTAACTAAGGCAGGCCAACAAATAACCTTCTGGTGGATACCCGCCCACGTAGGAATATACGGTAATGAAAACGCCGATAAAGCAGCTAAACTATCCCCCTAAATCCCAGAAATAAGCTTAAACTTACCCATCTCAAAATCAGAAATTAAAAGTGTAAACAAGCAAAAAATCACAAAAAATGGCAAAACCTATATCTAAACTCAAATAGCCAAATCAAAAAAGTGCTCAGCAAACCACTAACCAAACCAAAAATTCTCCATCCATCAAAAAAAATCGACAGAGTAATCACTAAGCTCCAAACAGGACACACCAACCTAAATAACCACCTAAAAAAATTAAAAAAACACACTACAGGTAACTGCCCACACTGCAAACAACCAGAAACCCCAGAACACGCACTCATCCACTGCACACACTACCTAACACATCGAACCGCATTACAAACCACCCTCAATCTAAACAAGGCTCTCACTCTAGAAGCAATACTAAACCCACAAAATAAACTAGAAAACTTCAAGGCCTTAGGCGTATTCTTGATAAAAACGGAACTAATAAAACGCATCAAAAAACACAATAACCTACCAAATCAAAATCACATAAACAAACAAACATCCACCATACCCAGCTCCCTTAGTTCTCCTCCCAAACCCCATCGGCATCTATTCCAAATCTCATAATTCCCAAATTCTATATAAGCAACCCCTAAACCCCCCTCTTGGGTTGCACAGACCATTTGCCCCTTTCGGAAACACATTAAATGGCCTGGCCGGGCCCGTGTGCGAAATACGCATCAGTCGGAAAGCGCACGTTAAATCTCCAAAGTAAGTAAGTAACGTGTATGTGTGTGTGGCTGCTTGTACTAGTCCGGACTGATGCTAGCACACTGAGATACCATGCCGCAGTTTAACATGAATACCCCACTCAGACACAGTATACTGACTCCGAGCCGACTAGTCCTTGTTTTAGCCCCTTAATGCCGAGCGCCAGACAGGGTAACAACAAGTACCATCTTTTAACGTCTTTTGGTATGACGCGGCCAGGGATCGAAACCCCGGACCTTACACTTTCCGGGCGGACGCTCTGCCACTAGGCCACGGAGGGGGTCTATATAGAAAGTAAATGTATGTAGTTGTATTCCTGTACCCTCGTATAATTTGGTGACTATTCTTGAGTTTTCATTTTCATGTTGAATAAACATATATTATTTAATATGAGAGTTAATGAATGAGACAAGAAACACATTGGAGTAATGTGAGTCAGTTGGTATATATGGACATGTAATTGGCAAGAAACACATTGGAGTAATGTGAGTCAGTTGGTATATATGTACATGTAATTGGCAAGAAACACATTGGAGTAATGTGAGTCAGTTGGTATATATGCACATGTAATTGGCAAGAAACACATTGGAGTAATGTGAGTCAGTTGGTATATGTGTACATGTAATTGGCAAGAAACACATTGGAGTAATGTGAGTCAGTTGGTATATATGCACATGTAAATGGCAAGAAACACATTGGAGTAATGTGAGTCAGTTGGTATATATGTACATGTGTATGGCAAGAAAAACATTCGAGTAATGTGAGTCAGTTGGTATATGTGTACATGTAAATGGCAAGAAACACATTGTAGTAATGTGAGTCAGTTGGTATATGTGTACATGTAAATGGCAAGAAACACATTGGAGTAATGTGAGTCAGTTGGTATATATGTACATGTAATTGGCAAGAAACACATTGGAGTAATGTGAGTCAGTTGGTATATATGCACATGTAATTGGCAAGAAACACATTGGAGTAATGTGAGTCAGTTGGTATATGTGTACATGTAATTGGCAAGAAACACATTGGAGTAATGTGAGTCAGTTGGTATATATGCACATGTAATTGGCAAGAAACACATTGGAGTAATGTGAGTCAGTTGGTATATATGTACATATGTATGGCAAGAAACACATTCGAGTAATGTGAGTCAGTTGGTATATGTGTACATGTAAATGGCAAGAAACACATTGTAGTAATGTGAGTCAGTTGGTATATGTGTACATGTAAATGGCAAGAAACACATTCTAGTAATGTGAGTCAGTTGGTATATATGTACATGTGTATGGCAAGAAACACATTGGATTAATGTGAGTCAGTTGGTATATATGTACATGTTAATGGCAAGAAACACATTGGAGTAATGTGAGTCAGTTGGTATATGTGTACATGTTAATGGCAAGAAACACATTGGAGTAATGTGAGTCAGTTGGTATATGTGTACATGTGTATGGCAAGAAACACATTCTAGTAATGTGAGTCAGTTGGTATATGTGTACATGTAAATGGCAAGAAACACATTGGAGTAATGTAATCAGGTGGTATATATGTACATGTGTATCGCAAGAAACACATTGGAGTAATGTGAGTCAGTTGGTATATATGCACATGTTAATGGCAAGAAACACATTGGAGTAATGTGAGTCAGTTGGTATATATGCACATGTTAATGGCAAGAAACACATTGGAGTAATGTGAGTCAGCTGGTATATGTGTACATGTTAATGGCAAGCAACACATTGGACTAATGTGAGTCAGTTGGTATATATGCACATGTAAATGGCAAGAAACACATTGGAGTAATGTGAGTCAGTTGGTATATATGCACATGTAAATGGCAAGAAACACATTGTAGTAATGTGAGTCAGTTGGTGTATGTGTACATGTGTATGGCAAGAAACACATTGGAGTAATGTGAGTCATTTGGTATATATGTACATGTGTATGGCAAGAAACACATTGTAGTAATGTGAGTCAGTTGGTATATGTGTACATGTGTATGGCAAGAAACACATTGGAGTTATGTGAGTCAGTTGGTATATGTGTACATGTTAATGGCAAGAAACACATTCTAGTAATGTGAGTCAGTTGGTATATGTGTACATGTGTATGGCAAGAAACACATTGGAGTAATGTGAGTCAGTTGGTATATATGTACATGTTAATGGCAAGAAACACATTGGAGTAATGTGAGTCAGTTGGTATATATGTACATGTGTATGGCAAGAAACACATTCGAGTAATGTGAGTCAGTTGGTATATGTGTACATGTGTATGGCAAGAAACACATTGGAGTAATGTGAGTCAGTTGGTATATATGTACATGTGTATGGCAAGAAACACATTGGAGTAATGTGAGTCAGTTGGTATATGTGTACATGTGTATGGCAAGAAACACATTCGAGTAATGTGAGTCAGTTGGTATATGTGCACATGTGTATGGCAAGAAACACATTGGATTAATGTGAGTCAGTTGGTATATATGCACATGTAAATGGCAAGAAACACATTGGAGTAATGTGAGTCAGTTGGTATATGTGTACATGTGTATGGCAAGAAACACATTCGAGTAATGTGAGTCAGTTGGTATATGTGCACATGTGTATGGCAAGAAACACATTGTAGTAATGTGAGTCAGTTGGTATATGTGTACATGTGTATGGCAAGAAACACATTGGAGTAATGTGAGTCAGTTGGTCCATGTCAATTTCAACAAAACGCAGTCCTGTTATGTGAATGTATTGGTACACGTAAATGTATGTGGCACGAATCACATTCTAGTAATGTGAGTCAGTTGCTGTATGTCACAAAACAGTCAGTGGGTTGATTCTGCCATCAAACACATAAATTGCCAGGACAGTATTAATACACTGAGTAAAGTGAACATAAACTTCTTAAACTGAATTATTCATAATAAATATTCATTTCTATCTTCTACAATTGAAACGGAAATTATTTCTATGTAAAAAAAATTCGATGACACATAAGCGAGGGTCATTTCCCGAGAACGACATAAACAGAACAAGAAGGACATTAATCCTAAGCGCATTCTAAATATCATACAATTCTATGAACTCGAAAGTGCATTTGTATCCTTCATATGTTAGGTCCCATTCTGTCAGGGCGTTAAGTTTTAAGAGTGAGTGAGTGAGTTGGGTTTAACGCCGCGTTTAACAGTATTCCAGTTATATCACGGCGTGTCAGATTAATGTGGGAGGAAAACCCGAAGTGATGCAGGCCTCAGGCGTTTACCACTTCGGTGAAACCCACGAGCACGGGTATGGTGCTGACAAACCTAGAAACATAATCAGGGCGAACCGGGATTCGAATCCACAATCATAGGTTTCTGACGTGCCCAGGCGACGCAACTATGCAAAGCGAATCGCGGCGCCTTAGACGACTGGGCCACCCGTTAGGGTTGCGACGGGTACTCGAGTACCCGATAACGGGTCGGGTAGCTTAGGACTCGAGTCCAATTTTCAGGACTCGAGTACCCGTTCAGGGGAGATAACTCTAATCGCCTTTCGTAACTCGTAAGTCACTTCAAAATGGACGACAAAGCGGACAAACGTTCAAATGTTTTAGGTAAGCTATGCAGGTATTTAATAAAAAAAACATAATACCTTAGAATAGATCAATAGATGTTTGATGACCTTTTATTCGCAAAAGCATTACAAACAAGTGGGACAACATTGAACTACGGGTACTCGAGTCCGGTTCGGGTATTGTCTGCCGGGTACTCGAGTTCAGTTTTCGTACCCGGTCGCAACCCTACCACCCGTGCCTAAAGTTTTAAGAAAGAAAAGTTACGTGTTCCCCTTTCGTGTCATAATAATACTCATTATCAATACTGTTTCTGTTTCGAATGGTGCTTAAGTAGCGATAACTTCATTTTCAAAACCACATAGGGTGAGTGAGTTGGAGTCAGTACCGCTCTGGATAGTATTTCATATACATATTACATATTACACCGTTTCAGCTTGGTGTGGGAGGGAAGTCCGAAGTGAGACAGGTCTGTTGAATCAAAGTATTATTGTAAAAGGAAACAATAGTTTCATTTGCTAGTAATAATCACACCGGAGTGTCATTCAAGCAGCAGTGTATTGTGTGTCAGTATTAACAGATCAATTAGACTTCACACTATCATCGACCGCCTCCGTGGTCTAGTGGTAGAGCGTCCGCCCGGAGAGCGGAAAATCCGGGGTTCGATCCCCCACCGCGTCATACCAAAAGACGTTAAAACATGGTACTTGTTGTTACCCTGTCTGGCGCCCGGCATAAAGGGCCTAAAACAAGGACTGATCGGTTCGGAGTCAGTATACTGTGTCTGAGTGAGGTGTTCATGTTAAACTGCGGCATGGTATCTCAGTGAGCTAGCACTATAAATCGGCATCAGTCCGGACTAGTACAAGCAGCCACACAAACATACACGTACATGCACGTCGCTATATAAGTGCAATAATCTTGGACGCGACGTTAAACCCCATTTCACCTCACCTCACAGTATCATCCGCTGGTCAGTGAACTGTGGTTTCATCAATACTGGTACTGTACCTGACAGGCAAACGTTAACTTTGCTTGGACGTTTTTCACTGGATTGTGAAGTAGGTTATTTTTGTATTCTTTATACATCCAGGAGGTATATTATTTCCCAGACGTAGGAATAAATTCTGTGAGTAAAGCTGTCGTATATCATTGTTTATTATTCAGACTCGCCAAATATCTAGAAGTAAAAACGTTTATTATTGGAAGTGAGAAAGCATAATCAACAAATGACAAATATCCCTATATCTCTGCTGAGTGACAATGCATTAATTTCATCACCCATGAAAGCAGGGGTATCTTATTCATGTACTAGAACGTGTATTGCTGCTGGTCAAATTTCAAGGCCACCGTGGGCCAGTCATTGCTAGAGGTCAGGAAAACTGAAGCCGCGCTTTTACGTCATGGCTTGAAGAGACCCTTTGGCGTTGGTGTCAGACACTTGATCATTGATAACAGGCGCTTGCGTGACATGTATGTTCCAAAATATTTTTGTCAACTTTATAATTATAAAACGTCATGATCAAAGCCAGAAAATAACCAGTCTCGATTATCAGCGGAAACAGAGTTAGGATGCGACACTCTGCCTGATTACAAGCGTCTGATAAATGTCGAAAGTTATGCTTCAATGTATTTCAACGCGGTATCAACAACCACTACCGTACACTGTAATTGCATAGACTTGATTTGTATTATATATATAATTCGAACACGTTGAAATATTTCCGTCTTCAAAATGGTGTTGATATTTTTACGATTTTACGTTTTGTGCTTTTTCTTGTATGGTTGGGTCTATTTCTTGTGAACCCTGGTGAAAGTTGTTAGATCCCTCGCGGTTTGAGTACTTAGTTTGATAAGGGTTGCTACGCATATTTCTAAACAGCTTACATATTAGACGGTTGTCAAATCCGATGTATTTGTTAGATTCTACAAATATCAAAATGTACTCTCGATCAGATATACAGCATATTTGTCTACCACATTCTAATGATCATCTCGTCTATATATAGGGTCATCGTATAATTACATACATTCCTGTTTTCAAAAGTCGTAGCTTTTAAAGTCAGATATCTTGATAAATAGCCATATAAATCCTAATTGATACTCGTTAAGTAAAACTATATTCAGCTGATATGTTTTAAATGTAAACAACATGAAGCACAGCGCAAGCGTTTCAAATACGTCCCACATCGGAATATTGCTAAAAGTGGCGTAAAACAACACTCATTCACTCACTCAACTTCAGTTATCCTCTTGTGACAAGATAAATGGTGGAGACCTGTACGTACCTGTATGTTTTATCACAAACACCAAGAGTATGGTTAGAGAGCCCCGCAACATCATGACACTGAAAATGATATTATAAAACATACAGTGATCAGGCAATGACAACCCAAACTGAGTCATGAGTCAACAATGTTAAGAAACCAAAACCAAAACACAAGGAAATATATACACCCTTAAAAAAAAGAAACGCATTTACATTTATTGTACCTAATGAAGTCGATATTATTTGATTTAATATCATAGATACAAATGTGACATTTTGGAGCTCGATAGTCACATGTTGTCGTTGTACAAAGGCATTGAAAACTGTTCATTGTTCATAGTATAAGGCCACAAGGTTCCGCTGAACACAGGATCTCGTGTGACCGCCCCGGGCAGCAATCACGGCTCTGCATCTCCTCGGCGCTGACTAGAAAAGCGTACGAATTCTGTCCTGCGGAATTCTGCGCCATTCTGCTTATAACGCGTTGGCCAGTTATGGAAGTGTCTGCGGCGTGTTCTGACGTTAACGTACACGTCGACCGAGTTCATCCCAGAGGTGTTCGATTGGGTTGAGATCTGGAGATCTCGACGTCCAGGGCAAGTCGTTGATGTTGGCATTATGAAGGTAGTCTACCGTGACACGAGCTGTGTGCGGTGGAGCGTTGTCCTGTTGAAACAGCTCCCTCTTGATTGGAAAATTCCCCTGAACCACAACCAAGTCAGATCTCGTGGTGTAGGATATGTTCCCCCACACCATGACACCCCCACCGAAATTGTGGAATTCACGTACACAATGTGGGGTAAAACGCTCATATCGACGACGATAAACACGTTGTCTTCCATCTGGCCGGTGAAGAAGAAATCGTGATTCATCGCTAAACCAAACTCGTCTCCAGTTTCCCAAAGTCCAAGGCTGTAAGGTATGACACCAACGCAAGCGTCGTTGTCGATAGATCTGTTGCAAAACAGGGACGATAACTGGTCTTCTGGGTCGGATTCCAGCCTCGCGAAGATGGTTCCCGACAGTCTGGTCCGATATCATCCTCAAACCAATGATGCGTTCTGCAATCTCCGTAGCTGTGGCACTGCGCCACATAGGTGGAACAGTCGAATGTAGCGATCCTATGCATTGGTGATAGCTCTTGGTCGGCCGGTTCTCGGAGGGTCTGTAATGGAATTGAACTGTGTGTATCGGTCACAAAGGCGGCATATGGTGCTGTGGTGGACGCTGAAGTGGCGTGCAACAGAAGACTGCGATTCCCCTCTTTGGGTGCGTCCTATGGCGATGTTCCGATCGGCAGCGCTGAGTCTCGGCAATTTCGAACTTGAAAAATGCTGACAATTGAATGACAAATTATTGGCTTATGCTTGTTTTTTTATATCCAATTTTTTTACCGTATTTTTGTGTAGTCAGGTTCAGTAAACAACATACTACCTGTGCGTTTCTATTTTTTTTTAAGAGTGTATTTATTCAGTGCATGGCTTGAAAGTGGCTGACCTTTGACATTGTATATTCCCGGTATCGACATTGCAGTCACCCATACTAATTGACGCAGGTCACTGATGTTTACCACTTGAGCTTAACCCCAAGAGCAAGGTTATAAACTGGTCAAAAGTCAAAAGTGTGTGAGTGAGTATGATTTTACGCAGCTCTTAGCAATATTCCAGCAATACCACGGCGAGAGACACCAGAAATGAGCTTCACACATTGTACCCATGTCGGGAATCGAACCCGGGTCTTCAGCGTGACGTGCGAACGCTTTAACCACTAGGCTACCCACCGCTCCCACACACAAAAGAAAAATAATACTATGACTATTGGAGTAGACGTTTATATCGTTGGCATAACAAAAAAGTGGTATACAGTCATTGTAACTTAACTTGATATAAAATACCAACAGTTAACATCGATGCTGCCCTGCGATAAACGTAATAAATCGAAAACAATGTCAATATTACTAATCATCAACAATGTACTTAAATTCAATTCGCTTTGAACCCAAATACACCCTGTTTAAAGAGGCAGGTCGGTATCCATTACGAAAACGTCAATGACTTTACATCAGACAATGATTATTGTTCCACGGTTACTCTCAAGCAACTCAAGCTGAATGTAGGGTTTGGCGGGTGATTTGTATTGAGGCCAGATACTTTTTTAATTAAAACTATGAGTCAAAGTATTTATGTAATTTTTGTGGCAGACAATCTTATTTTTTTTCTAACAATATGAAGCACAATTATGTTTTTCAAGGATTTCTGGGACAATATATTTATTGCGATAACATCCCCCCGAAACAACCCCCACCCCCACACCCTAGATCATCAAATAGTCGGCCAAAAAGTAATACTGTCTTACCTTAACCTCTGATTCTGTTCACTTAATTGTTGACGCCCTGTGTGCGTGGTTTCTACTGTGTGAACAGCTTCATCTTTGGCCTGCCAGCATCCCCTAGCAGAGAGGATGAGTAATTTGAACCAGGATGAAACACAATCACTGTAGAAACCGGAACGTGATGGTTGCATTCGTGTCATTTGGTGGTATTATTTCTTAATAAAATTAGTAATAATCAAACTAGTCCGGGCGGTAACATCTATCAAAACCCGATACATGTACGACCTTCATTCAGCTGAAGCAGAGTTTCTGCATCACCACTTGGGTGATCATCCAAATTGCTGACGCCCGTATCTGATGCTCATTTCTGAAGCGTACTTGGCGGTGTGTCTTAACGCCTTTTCGCAGTTATTTGACGCCCTCTCTCACGTCAAGGGCCGCCTCCGTGGTCTAGTGGTAGAGCGTCCGCCCGGAGAGCCGAAGGTCCGGGGTTCGATCCCTGGCCGCGTCATACCAAAAGACGTTAAAAGATGGTACTTGTTGTTACCCTGTCTGGCGCTCGGCATTAAGGGGCTAAAACAAGGACTGGTCGGCTCGGAGTCAGTATACTGTGTCTGAGTGGGGTATTCATGTTAAACTGCGGCATGGTATCTCAGTGAGCTAGCACTATAAATCGGCTTTAGTCCGGACTAGTACAAGCAGACACACACACACACGTGCATGCACGTCGCTGTCTAAGTGCAATAATCTTGGACGCGACGTTAAACCCCATTTCACCTCACCTCTCACGTCAAACATCCATCTCTCTCATTCATTTTTTTGCCACCGTGAGTATTCCGGGTTAGTATATATACGACCCTAGAAACCTGTACTTGTCGTAAGAAGCGACTGCATGGATCGGCTTCATTGATTGCGCACGATTGTATTCCGAAGGCGTTGGATTTTACTTATAATATCAATCACTGTTATTTTAGTATCAGATAAGTTACAGGTCGCGTCATATAGCTGGAGTATGGCGTAAAAGAAAGGCGAACCAAATACAATTTTGACAAATAGGGAATTGAAAGTGCCAAACTGAAGAACTAAAGTGGCGGCCTAAGTGTTCCAAGACTGGATTGAATGTTTAGCACTGTGTTCCTCAGGGTCTGGTCATAGTGTTGGCTGGTTGTTGGTTTGTTGTTTAATGCCGCACTCAGCAATATCCCAGCTATACGGCGGTAAATACTCGAGTCTCGAACAGACAATCCAGTGATTGACTGCATGAGCATCGATCCTCGCAATTGGGATACGGTGACATGCATCAATCATCTCAGCGCGGATGACCACCCGATCCCGTTAGCCGCCTCTTACGACAAGCATAGTCGCCTTTTACGGCCATAATTGGTTGTTGAAGACCTATTCCACCCCGGAATCTTCACGGGTCCTGGTCATGGTGTGCCTGGTTGCTTCAGGACACTTCACACATACGTCCTCCCGTCTACGTCCATCATGTTATCGGTATTGCAACCTATCGTTTTAGTCCATTTAGTCAGACGTGTCAATTATAAGACAGTGGAGTAGGTAAAAATAGTCAACAGGCATATCTAAATGGAATATCCCAAACTATACTGTCTCCAGAACAGTATTGGTATCAATGAGTTTTAAATACATTTTGTTGGTGATTCCCTTTAATGTTTTAATCTTAATTTAAGGAGTTCTTAACCAAGTGTGAGTTTTAAAAAAACATAAATACATCTACTCTACAGTCAAAAGCATCAAACATCATCAGGTTCACACGATATCAGCACACTTCGGATGCGGGCCAGAGAAGAGTTACACCCCATGGAGTCGATTTACAACGATCGAGTCGCCCAAGAAGAAAACATTGGCATCCCTATCTTGCCCTCGTTACACATGATGAGTGCTCCCTACATGATCGAAATTTCCTGCTCTTTTGCAACCCAGATTCTGACCTCCAGCAGTAGTGAACAGTGTCTTCGTGGACAGCACATTCCTCCTGTCCAGGCTTACCCGCCCAGTCGTCACGCCAACATCTACCGGTTTATGAGTGATTGAGTGAGTTGGGTTTAACGCCGCTTTTAACAGTATTCCAGTTATATCACGGCGTGTCAGCTTTATGTGGGAGGAAAACCCGAAGTGATGCAGGTCTCAGACGTTTACCACTTCGGTGAAACCCACGAGCACGGGTATGGTGCTGACAAACCTAAAAACATAATCGGGGCGAACCGGGATTCGAACCCACAATCATAGGTTTCTGGCGTGCCCAAGGGACGCAACTCTGCACAGCGAATCGCGACGCCTTAGACGACTGGGCCAACCGTGCCCCCTCTACCGGTTTATGGAATTCATAACATGAATTGAATGTGTTGACCTGGCGTAGCTTGTCGGAAGGACAGCCTCGCCCCACATGGCAGATGGTGCAGAGAGGTTGAACACTGACTTGAGCGACTGAAGAACCAAGTTCTTCAAGGACAGAAAACCCAAATTCTGTACCTTGATACTGGTGGGAAGTTTGTTCAAGTTGGACCAAATATTCTATTGAGAATATGAGAACAGACATGAAATCCAGCGACTTATTATCTGATGAGATACTATACAAATGTATTTATCATGACTGATTTTTCGCAAAAAGACATGAAAGGGTAACAATAAAATATAAATATTAATATGTTTTCCGTTACTGTCGGACCATACCATGTTGATAAATGGGTAACAATCTGTGCAATCAACAAACTTTCTTATTCCCTTTTACTTTATTTCGAAATTCATCATGAATCATGTGCTACAGCCGACACTACATTGTCATATTTCTCCGGAAAACTAGCTAATAAAATCGGACGTCCCTGTACACCCTAAAATAACCAATCTACGGAAATAATCCCTCAGTTATAACTCAAGGTCAACTGATAAACATGCACAATCCAGTATTGACCTCGATGACACATACTTGTATACAAGGCTAGTAACGCTTCACATTCCCCGAGAATGGCATAATGTCATTAAAACCAATGTATCAAAGATATTGAGATATCCATACGCGTTAATCAAGCAACTCTCGAATCCATGTTCCTATTATATAATAAAAATCATTTGAATGTCATTCATTAAATAGTTTGGCGTTTCCTGAAATTTCCTGTATATATCAATACCCCGTTAATCCAGATGTTTGCTTTCCCTGCGAAATCGTCCGGATGAGCAAGTTTCCGGATTATTGACGATAATTACGAGGTGTCACTATGTACATTTGAAAGCTTTCCCATCATTCCCAACTGGTCTGGTTTCTGGTTTAATGGATTAACGAGGTTTGACTATATACAGTTAACAACGTTTATAACGAACACGCCTATAACGAACTGACGGATATAACGAACTTATTTTTTAGTCCGGGCCATTTGATACATATATGCTGTATATATGCTTATAACGAACTACGGTTATTACGAACTAAAAATTGTGGTCCCTTTGAGTTCGTTATAACCGTAGTTTACTGTATAGTACAATGCCGTGTCACATATTTTGCAATTGTAGAGTAAAGGTAAGGGTAGTGTAGGTAGAAAGGAATCTAAGAAATATATGTCGCAACATTGATTTAGTTTCGAACGGTAATCATCTTCATATTCGTTAGAGCACAAAAACAATTTGCTCGACCTATTTCAGGTTTACAATTTCACATTTAACACTTCACACGGAATACAAAACGAAGCCTCATATTTGGCGAAGTTTGCCGGCCGTATTCCCCTTCCACTCGTACCGACATCAACACTGAATTCAATGTACATCGCAACTGATAGGTCCACACGTGATAGTGTTAAGGATAAGGAACTTAATTAGATGAGGAACTCGATACTTAAACAGGCTTCCGAAATTCAGGGAAATGGATAAAGCATGTCCTTGTCCACATTGGCAAAAAGTCAATAATCCTAGTTTCGGTTACAAATGAAATATTATAAATACAGTAAACTACGGTTATAACGAACACGCTTATAACGAACTAACGGATATAACGAACTAACTTTATAGTCCCGACTAGTTGCTGTATTATACTGTATATATGCTTATACCGAAATACGGTTATAACGAACTAAAATTAGTAGTCCCTTTGAGTTCGTTATAACCGTTGTTTACTGTACACTTATCGAAAACAAGCCTGCAGCTAAACAAGCTTGAGAAACATCAAGACTTGAAATTAAAGCTAATCCGCAGACCTGTATCATACAAGCACGGGTGGAAGGATATTTTGGGGCCGATGATGTGACAGTGATGAATACACGCAGAACAGGAACTCCACGTGCACCGCGTCACACTCAACCGCAGTCCTCTCGTCAATGCACGTGGAAACGTATTACTTACGTTTTCTCTTTTGCAGTAGTGAGTGAGTGAGTAAGTAGGGTTTTACGCCGCTTTTAGCAATATTCCAGCAATATGACGGCCCATGTCGGGAATCGAACCCGGGTCTTCGGCGTGACGATCGAATCTTTTGCAGTAAAGGTCAAGATGAATATGTTCTCAGATAACATATCAACTAGGACAGGATTGGTCCTCTCCGATAAAGTACCATCTTAGTCGGACCATACTCATTTAATCCCACGGACTTATTTAATATTGGAAAATCATAATAAAGCTTTACTTCCCGATTCTGTATCCATTAAGACTGTTATTTTTAGTGGGAATGTATTAAATAAGTCGGGTACGACCTATATCACGATAATGCCGGTCATTTTTTATATCTCAGTCCAGTGTGTGCAATGTTGCATAAATGCTATTGTCAGCCCTTATCCTTTAAGTCCTGCTGTCAGCACACACCGTCCTCATGGGCGGCACATTCGGCCTGTCTGACAGCGTCCGTGATCGTGCATGGGTGTCACGAAGTAGGCCCGTAGGCATACCAATTACGTCGCCTTCAGCTTCAGTGAGTGAGTGAGTGAGTTTGGTTTTACGCCGCTTTTAGCAATATTCCAGCACTATCACGGCGGGGGACACCAGAAATGGGCTTCACACAATGTACCCATGTCGGGAATCGAACCCGGGTCTTCGGCGTGACGAGCGAACCCTTTAACCACTAGGCTACCCGACCGCCCCCTTCAGCTTCTGCTTTAACCAACTTAACCGCGATAACTTAAACGAAAATACTGCTAACGGGTTGTTACACACTTAAGCACACACCCCACTCTCTCATCTTTTTATGACATTGTGACTTTAAGCACACCTACTACTTGGTAGAATTAAGATTATCGTTATGCAGTGATGAAACTATATACGTGCTGGTACCAGTTCATACCATATTTGGTTTCATGTATTTTGTTATAATTGTTGAACACACTGGCAAGAGAATGTGTGAAGTGAGTGAGTTGGCTTTAACGCCCCTTTTAACTGTATTCCAGTTATATCGAGGCGTTTCAGCTTAATGTGGGAGGAAAGCCCGAAGTGATGCAGGTCTCAGACGTTTACCACTTCGGTGAAACACATGACCACGGGTATGGTGCTGACAAACCTAGAAAGATAATCGGGACGGACCGGGATTCGAAACCACAATCATAGGTTTCTGGCGTGCCCAAGGGACGCAACTCTGCACAGCGAATCGCGGCGCCTTAGACGACTGGGCCAACCGTGCCCCCGAATATGTAAAGAAGCAGGCGGACCACATTGATCACGAACCACACATCTTTTGATTGAATGGAATATGAACACTTCGATACCTTTTCACATGGAATTGGGCGGTTGGGTAGCCTAGCGGTTAAAGCGTTCGCTTGTCACGCCGAGGGCCAGGTTCGATTCCTGACATGGGTACAATGTGTGAAGCCCATTTCAGGTATCCCCCACCCTGACATTGCCGGAATACGGCTACAAGCGGTGTAAAACCACACTAATTCACTTATATGGTATTAACATAAAGATTACTAATAAAAAGCACGTAATGGGTTTTTTGTTGTGCACATCCTCAGCACTGACTCATTTTGATTAAAAAAGGACGACGCGCCTGAAACTAACAAATTAATTACAATTCATGTAATCATTTCCTTGTCCGATCACAACTGATATCGTGGTGTTGGCTTGTTCAAGGTAGGCACATCAGATCATTATTTCTCACGTTAACACGTTGATATATTATATATACACCTTCATACAAACCGGCTTGGTAACACGGCCTATTATGATAAATTATTAATTACATAGCGTGTATTTGAAATTTCCCATTGTTTTCGTTGATATGTTGTGTATTTGTGTAAGTATAGTTCTACTCATTGACATTAGAAACTGTGAACAGTGAGTGTCAACATGAACTTCATTTTTGCAGAGATGTCTCTTGGTTGTAAGTCCAGTAAAGGTTATGGTTAACGAGTGACCTACTGAGACAGTGTAACAACTTGTGGCGATTAGACAACACAACATGTGTATTAATATCGCACATGCGGAAGCTACGCTGGAAAGGGACGTTTTAGCCCATTGGACTAACGCATTTATCAAACGAATACTCGAACCACACATTTTATGAATTAACAGATATACAAACTTCTACCAGTCGATAGGTGTAAGCTAACAACAGTGTGAGAACAGATACACGGTACCTCATGCCTATCAAACAAGACTAAAAAGTCGATGACTGGCTGATTGCCCGTTGTGGTTCCCCGGTGATAGTGTCTCATGCTAGCTGCCATTGTACAGGGCGTCGTCCTATAGCTGGAACATTACTGATTGTGACGTAAATCAACTTTAAGTGCCTCCCTCTCACTTCACTTAATATGTTGGCATTATCATTAAATTGAGGTGAGGTGAGGTGAATATGGGTTTAACGTCGCGTCCAAGATTATTGCACTTATATAGCGACGTGCATACACGTGTGTGTGTGTGTGTGTGTGTGTGTGTGTGTGTGTGTGTGTGTGTGTGTGTGGCTGCTTGTACTACTCCGGACTGATACCGATTTATAGTGCTAGCTCACTGAGATACCATGTCGCAGTTTAACATGAATAGCTCACTCAGACACAGTATACTGACTCCGAGCCGACCAGTCCTTGTTTTAGCCCCTTAATGCCGAGCGCCAGACAGGGTAACAACAAGTACCATCTTTTAACGTCTTTTGGTATGACGCGGCCGGGGATCAAAATTGAGATTGTGAAGGACTTAAACACATGAGTAAAGTCTCATGATTCAATGTATAAGACTGCTTTTAGTCTTGTTTGATAGGCATTACTCAGAGGTTGACGGATGACAAAGTTCTTTAATAGTGTAAAGGCGTCCTTTCAGTATAGATCCTCATACTGTTGTCAAGCAAGTCTGTCTTGCTTGACAACGGTATAAGGATCTATACCGAAACGTCGCCTTTACAGTATTAAAGAAGTTGTTATCCATAAGTTGTGTCTAGTTTGCTATTTAGTCACCTCTGCGTCTATTTGCAGCCAAAGCTGACGTCCCCTGTACCTTCTCTGTGTTTCAAAATGTCTATGTCACCGCTGATATTCGCTTTACTGTTGGGAGGATCCATGTTTGTGCCGAGTTCAACAGAACCAGGTAAGTATGGCATAAACATGCGCAGTAGCTCAATATCAAATAGCAATACCTACCGCATATACCTGATTGGTGACGGATACCCAGCAGGCGTCCGTTTACCTGCGTCAACTTTAGATAACTCGCTGACATACCTGACAGAACGGTGGTACTGGCAGTAGTCTGTTTACTCAATATATCTCCAGATGGTATCTTTATGATATAACCGAGACATCTTAAAAAATGTTATTTTTTATGATTTCTCAATAACAATGTCACATTAAATATATAATTAGTGTACATGTACGGTTTATTTTACAAATAATAGAACAGCTTATAACTGGCGATAGACATTGAAATAGACTATATGGCGATGGGCTGGCTTTATATTAGCCGATATACCCGATACTTGGCAATATTCTGCGGATATCTTTTAGCAAGCGATATTTCTATTTCCGGTTGACTCCCGATAACTGCCTGCTGTATCCGGTCCTTGGCAGACATCCAGCTGGGGTGTCCGTTAGCCCCGTTTAACTCTTGATAACTGCCTGCTATACCCGGTCCTTGGCAGGTATCCAGTAGGGGTTACCGTTAGCCCCGTTTAACTCTTGATAACTGCCTCCTATATCCGGTCCTTGGCAGACATTCAGCTGGGGTGTCCGTTAGCCCCGCTTAACTCTTGATAACTGCCTGCTATATCCGGTCCTTGGCAGACATTCAGCTGGGGTGTCCGTTAGCCCCGCTTAACTCTTGATAACTACCTGCTATATCCGGTCCTTGGCAGGTATCCAGTAGGGATGACCGTTAGCCCCGCTTAACTCTTGATAACTGCCTGCTATACCCGGTCCTTGGCAGATATCCAGTAGGGGTTACCGTTAGCCCCGTTTAACTCTTGATAACTGCCTCCTATATCCGGTCCTTGGCAGGTATCAAGTGGGGATGACCGTTAGCCCCGTTTAACTCTTGATAACTGCCTGCTGTATCCGGTCCTTGGCAGGTATCCAGTAGGGGTTACCGTTAGCCCCGCTTAACTCTTGATAACTGCCTCCTATATCTGGTCCTTGGCAGGTATCCAGTAGGGATGACCGTTAGCCCCGTTTAACTCTTGATAACCGCCTGCTATACCCGGTCCTTGGCAGGTATCCGGTAGGGGTTACCGTTAGCCCCATTTAACTCTTGATAACTGCCTCCTATATCCGGTCCTTGGCAGACATTCAGCTGGGGTGTCCGTTAGCCCCGCTTAACTCTTGATAACTGCCTGCTGTATCCGGTCCTTGGCAGACATTCAGCTGGGGTGTCCGTTAGCCCCGCTTAACTCTTGATAACTGCCTGCTGTATCCGGTCCTTGGCAGACATTCAGCTGGGGTGTCCGTTAGCCCCGCTTAACTCTTGATAACTACCTCCTATATCCGGTCCTTGGCAGGTATCCAGTAGGGGCATCGGTTAGCCCCGCTTAACTCTTGATAACTGCCTGCTATACCCGGTCCTTGGCAGGTATCCAGTAGGGATGACCGTTAGCCCCACTTAACTCTTGATAACTGCCTCCTATATCTGGTCCTTGGCAGGTATCCAGTAGGGATGACCGTTAGCCCCGTTTAACTCTTGATAACCGCCTGCTATACCCGGTCCTTGGCAGGTATCCGGTAGGGGTTACCGTTAGCCCCGTTTAACTCTTGATAACTGCCTCCTATATCCGGTCCTTGGCAGACATTCAGCTGGGGTGTCCGTTAGCCCCGCTTAACTCTTGATAACTGCCTGCTGTATTCGGTACTTGGCAGATATCCAGTAGGGGCATCGGTTAGCCCCGCTTAACTCTTGATAACTGCCTGCTATACCCGGTCCTTGGCAGGTATCCAGTAGGGATGACCGTTAGCCCCACTTAACTCTTGATAACTGCCTCCTATATCTGGTCCTTGGCAGGTATCCAGTAGGGATGACCGTTAGCCCCGTTTAACTCTTGATAACCGCCTGCTATACCCGGTCCTTGGCAGGTATCCGGTAGGGGTTACCGTTAGCCCCGTTTAACTCTTGATAACTGCCTCCTATATCCGGTCCTTGGCAGACATTCAGCTGGGGTGTCCGTTAGCCCCGCTTAACTCTTGATAACTGCCTGCTGTATCCGGTCCTTGGCAGACATTCAGCTGGGGTGTCCGTTAGCCCCGCTTAACTCTTGATAACTACCTCCTATATCCGGTCCTTGGCAGGTATCCAGTAGGGATGACCGTTAGCCCCGTTTAACTCTTGATAACTGCCTGCTATACCCGGTCCTTGGCAGGTATCCAGTAGGGGTTACCGTTAGCCCCGTTTAACTCTTGATAACTGCCTGCTATACCTGGTCCTTGGCAGGTATCCAGTAGGGATGGCCGTTAGCCCCGTTTAACTCTTGATAACTGCCTCCTATATCCGGTCCTTGGCAGGTATCCAGTAGGGATGACCGTTAGCCCCGTTTAACTCTTGATAACTGCCTGCTGTATCCGGTCCTTGGCAGGTATCCGGTAGGGGTTACCGTTAGCCCCGCTTAACTCTTGATAACTGCCTCCTATATCCGGTCCTTGGCAGGTATCCAGTAGGGATGACCGTTAGCCCCGTTTAACTCTTGATAACTGCCTGCTATATTCGGTACTTGGCAGATATCCAGTAGGGGCATCGGTTAGCCCCGCTTAACTCTTGATAACTGCCTCCTATATCCGGTCCTTGGCAGGTATCCAGTAGGGATGACCGTTAGCCCCGTTTAACTCTTGATAACTGCCTGCTGTATCCGGTCCTTGGCAGGTATCCAGTAGGGGTTACCGTTAGCCCCGCTTAACTCTTGATAACTGCCTCCTATATCCGGTCCTTGGCAGGTATCCAGTAGGGATGACCGTTAGCCCCGTTTAACTCTTGATAACTGCCTGCTATATCCGGTCCTTGGCAGATATCCAGAAGGGACATCCGTTAGCTTCGTTTAACTATTAATAACTGCCTGTTATATTCGGTACTTGGCAGATATCCAGTAGGGGTAACCGTTAGCCCCGCTTAACTCTTGATAACTGCCTCCTATATCCGGTCCTTGGCAGGTATCCAGTAGGGGTTACCGTTAGCCCCGCTTAACTCTTGATAACTGCCTCCTATATCCGGTCCTTGGCAGGTATCCAGTAGGGATGACCGTTAGCCCCGTTTAACTCTTGATAACTGCCTGCTATACCCGGTCCTTGGCAGGTATCCAGTAGGGGTTACCGTTAGCCCCGCTTAACTCTTGATAACTGCCTGCTATATCCGGTCCTTGGCAGGTATCCAGTAGGGATTACCGTTAGCCCCGTTTAACTCTTGATAACTGCCTGCTATATTCGGTACTTGGCAGATATCCAGTAGGGGCATCGGTTAGCCCCGCTTAACTCTTGATAACTGCCTCCTATATCCGGTCCTTGGCAGGTATCCAGTAGGGATGACCGTTAGCCCCGTTTAACTCTTGATAACTGCCTGCTATATTCGGTACTTGGCAGATATCCAGTAGGGGCATCGGTTAGCCCCGTTTAACTCTTGATAACTGCCTGCTATATCCGGTCCTTGGCAGATATCCAGAAGGGACATCCGTTATCTTCGTTTAACTATTAATAACTGCCTGTTATATTCGGTACTTGGCAGATATCCAGTAGGGGTAACCGTTAGCCCCGCTTAACTCTTGATAACTGCCTCCTATATCCGGTCCTTGGCAGGTATCCAGTAGGGGTTACCGTTAGCCCCGCTTAACTCTTGATAACTGCCTCCTATATCCGGTCCTTGGCAGGTATCCAGTAGGGATGACCGTTAGCCCCGTTTAACTCTTGATAACTGCCTGCTATACCCGGTCCTTGGCAGGTATCCAGTAGGGGTTACCGTTAGCCCCGCTTAACTCTTGATAACTGCCTGCTATATCCGGTCCTTGGCATGTATCCAGTAGGGATTACCGTTAGCCCCGTTTAACTCTTGATAACTGCCTGCTATATTCGGTACTTGGCAGATATCCAGTAGGGGCATCGGTTAGCCCCGCTTAACTCTTGATAACTGCCTGCTATACCCGGTCCTTGGCAGTTATCCAGTAGGGGTTACCGTTAGCCCCGTTTAACTCTTGATAACTGCCTGCTATATCCGGTCCTTGGCAGACATTCAGCTGGGGTGTCCGTTAGCCCCGCTTAACTCTTGATAACTGCCTCCTATATCCGGTCCTTGGCAGGTATCCAGTAGGGATGACCGTTAGCCCCGTTTAACTCTTGATAACTGCCTGCTGTATTCGGTACTTGGCAGATATCCAGTAGGGGCATCGGTTAGCCCCGCTTAACTCTTGATAACTGCCTGCTATACCCGGTCCTTGGCAGGTATCCAGTAGGGATGACCGTTAGCCCCGTTTAACTCTTGATAACTGCCTGCTATATCCGGTCCTTGGCAGGTATCCGGTAGGGATGACCGTTAGCCCCGTTTAACTCTTGATAACTGCCTCCTATATCCGGTCCTTGGCAGGTATCCAGTAGGGATGACCGTTAGCCCCGTTTAACTCTTGACAACTGCCTCCTATATCCGGTCCTTGGCAGGTATCCAGTAGGGATGACCGTTAGCTTCGTTTAACTCTTGATAACCGCCTGTTATATCCGGTACCTAGCAGATATCCAGTAGGGGCATCCGTTAGCCCCGTTTAACTCTTGATAACTGCCTGCTATATCCGGTCCTTGGCAGATATCCAGAAGGGACATCCGTTAGCTCCGTTTAACTATTAATAACTGCCTGTTATAATCGGTACTTGGCAGATATCCAGTAGGGGTAACCGTTAGCTAACTATTGATAACCGCCTGCTATATCCTGTACTTGGCAGATACCCAGAAGGGACATCCGTTAGCTCCTTGTAACTCTTGATAACTGCCTGTTATATTCGGTATTTGGCAGATATCCCGTAGAGGCATCCGTTAGCCCCGCTTAACTCTTAATAACTGCCTGCTATATCCGGTACTTGGCAGATACCCAGGGGAGGGGTCGGGCGAGGTTTTTCGTTTTAGATCAACGTTTTATTCTTAATTATCAGGAACTGTATTCTTTAGACACTCATGGCGGTTTTTTTCTACCGCGTGTTCCTCCCACCAATGAACGTCCAGTGACCTCATGTCCTACTTTGAAGGTGTCCTTTCGCTGTAGGCGAGCTCTTCATACAAGAGGTCCTTTCGGTTTCCATCATCCATGCGACAGCGTGACCAAGCCTGTAAAGTCAGTGCTGTTGGGGCAGAAAGAAGAGACTTAGGATTGTGATGTGGAAAAGAACCTCAGTGTTTATGTGACCCCGAAAAACATAGAGGGCACCAGTAAAGAAGTCCACCCTCTGCATGCTGATATCGTTAGAGGCTTATTGTGGGGCATCCTCTTTGATTGGAATATGATCCTGCAGCATACCCAGGAAGAGTCTGTGTCACAGCTGGCACTGGGGTACAAAGATGTGACAAGCATGTTACTGATGTGGTGGCGCCTTGTGGTGATGAGGTCCTGATGGCACCAGTGCTTCAACCGGGGTGTCTTCAGGAAGAAGGAATTGGAAGTTGTGTGTGCACAGCTCGAGAAGCGGTCCATTTTCATACATCACCAATTCCATATTGTCCCTGACTGCAGGGCGGGGATTCATGGTCAGTACCCACTCTTTCATATGCTGCCGAGCAGTACCAGCTGTTCGTGGCTGGTGACCTCCTTGATAACGACCTGGAGCTGGCTGTGGAACTGGATCTCGTCCTTCGCCTCCTGTGTGGTGCAGAGGGTTGGAACATACACACTGATGAGGCCCGTGGGAAGGTCAGAAGTCTCTCCATTCCATTCTTGCCAGGATTGTCTGTTCCGACTTGGTTTGATCAGCTCCTGTAGCATGGTGATGTCCACATGCAGTCTTCGTTGAGAGTCGTCTGAGAGCTGTACCATTGAGGAGTCTCAACAGACAATCCGGTCGTCATGGTGCGAACATTCCATGATCTCATTCTGAGAGCTGTCTTATTGATGAGTCTTGCATACATCACTCATCTCCCGGAGGTCAACAGACAATCCGGTCGTCATGATGCGAACATTCCAGGATCTCATTCTGAGAGCTGTCTTATTGAGGAGTCTTGCATACATCACTCATCTCCCGGAGGTCAACAGACAAGTCGGTCTTATTGAGGAGTCGTGCGTACATCACTCATCTCCCGGAGGTCAACAGACAATCCGGTCGTCATGATGCGAACATTACAGGATCTCATTCTGAGAGCTGTCTGATTGAGGAGTCTTGAATACATAACTCATCTCCCGGAGGTCAACAAACAATCCGGTCGTCATGGTGCGAACATTCCAGGATCTCATTCTGAGAGCTGTCTTATTGAGGAGTCTTGCATACATCACTCATCTCCCGGAGGTCAACAGACAAGTCGGTCTTATTGAGGAGTCGTGCGTACATCACTCATCTCCCGGAGGTCAACAGACAATCCGGTCGTCATGATGCGAACATTACAGGATCTCATTCTGAGAGCTGTCTGATTGAGGAGTCTTGAATACATAACTCATCTCCCGGAGGTCAACAAACAATCCGGTCGTCATGGTGCGAACATTCCAGGATCTCATTCTGAGAGCTGTCTGATTGAGGAGTCTTGAATACATAACTCATCTCCCGGAGGTCAACAAACAATCCGGTCGTCATGGTGCGAACATTCCAGGATCTCATTCTGAGAGCTGTCTGATTGAGGAGTCTTGAATACATAACTCATCTCCCGGAGGTCAACAAACAATCCGGTCGTCATGGTGCGAACATTCCAGGATCTCATTCTGAGAGCTGTCTTATTGAGGAGTCTTGCATACATCACTCATCTCCCGGAGGTCAACAAACAATCCAGTCGTCATGATGCGAACATTCCAGGATCTCATTCTGAGAGCTGTCTGATTGAGGAGTCTTGAATACATAACTCATCTCCCGGAGGTCAACAAACAATCCAGTCGTCATGGTGCGAACATTCCAGGATCTCATTCTGAGAGCTGTCGTTAATGAGGAGTCTTGAATACATCACTCATCTCCCGGAGGTCAACAGACAATCCAGTCGTCATGATGCGAACATTCCAGGCTTTCATTCTGAGAGCTGTCGTTAATGAGGAGTCTTGAATACATCACTCATCTCCCGGAGGTCAACAGACAATCCAGTCGTCATGATGCGAACATTCCAGGCTTTCATTCTGAGAGCTGTCGTTAATGAGGAGTCTTGAATACATCACTCATCTCCCGGAGGTCAACAGACAATCAAGTCGTCGTGGTGCGAACATTCCAGGATTTCATTCTGAAAGCTGGCTTCCTACTGTGTGGTCTTATCTGATGCAAAGTTTACATCAGTTGCACATGCAAGATATATTCCTTCTCCAGGTCTTGCTGACAGATACAAGGGAAAGGACTCATCCAATACTGTCAAAGTGGAATTAAACTCTTAACATGCTATGTCGAAAATGTCGTGTTTACTAATAACTCTCCCTGAATTTTCTCTGAAAATGAATGACATGCTCTAATACAGGTCATCTCAAAAGTACATTAACATCCGATGTCAAGCTTATGCCAAAGGTCACTCGTATGGGATGAAAGAACAAACAATATGATGCGATTTTGCCTCGCCCATTCAATTAAACTACCCGTAAAGATCCGGGATAGAAAAGGTATTCAGTAACCCATGCTTGCCGTAAAAGGCGACTAACGGGATCGGGGGGTCAAGCTCGCTGACCTGGTTTATGCATGTCATCGTATCCCAATGACGTAGATCGATTATATACAGACCGCCGTCATATAGCTGGAATATTGCTTAGAGCGGCGTTAAACAACATGCAAGCAGCACACAGACACAGTACCAAAGGCTCCAGGTGTTGCTTCGGACAATAATTCTTCCTTCATCCAGGGGGCACTGGTGGCCCAGTCGTCTAAGGCGCCGCAATTCCCTGTGCAGAGTTCCGTCCCTTGGGCACACCAGAAAGCTATGATTTTGGGTTCGAATCCCGCTTCGTCCCGATTATGTTTCTAGGTTTGTCAGGTTTTCTGTCCTTGAAGAACTTGGTTCTTCAGTCGCTCAAGTCAGTGTTCAACCTCTCTGCACCCTCTGCCATGTGGGGCTAGGCTGTCCTTCCGACAAGCTACGCTAGGTCAACACATTCAATTCATGTTATGAATTCCATAAACCGGTAGAGGGGGCACGGGTGGCCCAGTGGTCTAAGGCGCTGCGATTCGCTGTGCAGAGTTGCGTCCCTTGGGCACGCCAGAAACCTATGATTGTGGGTTCGAATCCCGATTCGCCCCGATTATGTTTTTAGGTTTGTCAGCACCATACCCGTGCTCGTGGGTTTCACCGAAGTGGCAAACGTCTGAGATCTGCATCACTTCGGGCTTTCCTCCCACATTAAGCTGACACGCCGTAATTAAACTGGAATACTGTTAAAACGGCGTTACACCCAGCTTACTCACTCACTCTTCACTCATCCGTTGACCAGGAAATACAAAATATGGCGAAACCTTCCCACTGACAGCTCCTATCATCGAGACTGTTTTACACTTCTCCGACGTCACAGAAATTAATACTGGCAACAATTTTAAGGGGTGTTACGTCAGACTTGTCTGAAAGAACATTAAGGAATTTCTTAGGACCATTAGAACAAATAGTAAAATACCATGATAGGAGATTATCTGATTTTTTTCCATATTGATGGACATGACGAGGAAATGCTTTAACCTAAAAACTCCAAACGTGATCATTATCGACATTTAAATGAATAGAATAACGAAATGATCTATTGCTCATCAAATATGTTATTAGTGATGTTATTAATAATTAAATGGCATGTATTTCACGTGATGACATTGAGGTTTTCCTGTGTATGTAGAGATCGATGCACGTCTAAGAGTGTCCCGATCTTCATTCACCGTCAACAGGAAGTTTGTTTACGTCAGAGAACACAGCAGTGTGACCTTGCAGTGCAACCCTGACGCGGATATTACAACGGAAGGGTGAGGATGACAATCCTTTTGTAATTATTACAATATTTTCTCTTCGTAAGTATTTTCCGTGTATGTTTTCGATCACGCTTAAAACTAGTTTGGACAATAATTGTTTGAGCGTGTGGCCTAGTTTAACAACAATAATCATAATTTACTAGGACTTCTGTCCTAAAAAATATGAGTATACTGTCAAATAAAAAAGTCATGTTAATTCAATATAACACACACGACGCTCTGTATATATGTATTGGTAGTCTACAAAAAGAGGTATGCAAACTCAATGTCGTCGTAACCATTGGCTACACTATAGAATGTTATCAAAAAGTAATGTGAGCTTGTGCACTAGCAAATTATCTACACTGTAAGTTAGTGTGACTTAGTAATTGCTTTGGATTTCTTGTTTGAATACAAATATTTAATTATTCAAACGAATTATTCGCAGGTCCAATCCCTGGCTTAACTCGTAACTATTTGCCATGGTTGTTTAACAGCTTTGTTTGGCACCATAACGGACCTTCGAATCCCATATACAAAGACGAGACATATGATCCTGAAAGAGATGCAGGTTTGATATACATCAACAAGATGTCTGACGTGGAACAGGGTCCTTACAACTGTCTGGTGAACACGTCCAATGGAAGACTCCTGTCAGAGACAGTTATACTCAAACTTGCAAGTAGGTTTTCTTTTAACAAGGACGTTGCTGTCTGCTATACAATTCCTCTACACCATTGAAGTAAATGGCAAAACAAAATCATAATATGTTAATTAATCATTGACGTTTGAAATTGCAACAGTTTCACTTCACCTTTCTATGTTAATTTGTGAAAGTGGCATAAGGTGCATAAATTGGCGGCGTCCACTAATGCCTACATCCACTAATGCCTACCATCTACAATAAACAAAGTCATGCACCAGTGATTTTCAGCGACACCTGCTATCAGTGCTACCCAACTCTAACTGGGGTTATCTCCCAAAACCCCTACATCCCATTTCCCCTACAACCCAGTTCCCCTACACTTAGTTAAAACAACACGCGGCATTTACCTGTCTGGCATTATGAACTCACCTAAAGGAGAGATTAAGGTCTGGAGTAGAGGTAGTAGAAATGAAAGGGGTAGAGCTTTATGGGATAAGGGGACTTAAAGGAAAGTTTTTTTAAAAAAAAGAATTATTGTAAGTGTAATGAAATATGCCTGTATGATGAGAAGATCCTGAAGTCTGCAAGAAGAGCAGCTGGCCTACCCCTACTCCCCAAGAACAAGATCCCATTTGAGATGAAATTTATTATAATGTATTATGAATTTCTCAATCTATTCGTGTTTCTTGGGTTGTTCCATTGTATGAAATAGGTAACAGACTAGGGATTAGCAGTGCCATGGACCGTGAACTTTGTTGTCTTAAGCTGTAGGGGAAATGGGATGTAGGGGTTTTGGGAGGTTACCCTAACTGGACAAGTCCACTTTAGTGGAATAATGCCTATAGGCGACAAAAGACAGAAAATTGTATGAAGTCACTTTTTATTTCACATTGCCATAACACTAAGAGTAATGATTTATGATTTCTGCATAGTTCTTATAGTATACACCAGCAGATATTTGCTGATTTCAAAGAAATCTAATATTAGAAGCATGGGTATGTTGTTTTCATTGTGTAGGCATTATTCCACACTGCTTTATTTTTTTGTAGGCAATAGTAATTGTAGGCAAAAGTGGACGTAGGCATTAGTGGCTGGAACCCATAAATTTATATACAATCCTATAGTATAGTATGTTTTCAGAAACCGAAAAACCGCCTTTGGGCTATGGGGTAAACCGGCTCAACGGTATGGATCCTCTTCCCTGTGACGTAACGGCATATTCAGTACCACGTGGTGAAATCACCTGGCTTAAAAGCGAGACAAAACTGGATCCTTCTGAAACTGAAAACGTGTACATAAACATGAACGGTTTGTACTTGTTAAATGTGCATTTTAAACTTATCGAATGATGAAAATGCATGATTCATCTGTTATATGGGTTCGATAATCTTGTCATCTCATAAATGGATAGGACCCGTGAAGGTCCGGGGTAGAATAGGTCTTCAGCAACCCATGCTTGCCGTAAGAGGCGACTCACGGCATCGGGTGGTCAGGCTCGCTGACTTGGTTGATGCATGCCAATTGCGTGGAGCGATGCTCGTGATGTTAGTCATTGGATTGTCTGGTCCAGACTTGATTGTTTACAGACCTTCGTCATATACATTGAATATTGCTGAGTGCGGCGTTGTTAAACAACAAACAAACAAATGATAACAGAATGTGAAAAAAACTAAATCAAGTTGTTCTGATATATATTGATCAGACATAATATTTTAAATAAGGTTGTATCCATTTCGAAAAAAAATCCCAAATTATCTATTGAATAAAATATACTTTTCAAGAACAGAATTCTATACGGTGTCTATAAAGTGAAAGAGTTCCGAGGTTCGTATCACGTTTGATAACGTGCAGCACACACTCCAATAAGTATAGAGGTAAACTTATTACTACGCCATTGGTTCCAGGATATACCCTTAATATCCCAGTGACATCTTACCTGACAAGTAACGTTAATGTCCGACATAACAAATGTCTACAGCGGGCATGACTTCGGGCTTTCTCCACCAGCTGCCACGACGTCACATAACTGATATACAGACTGATTATTCAAAGATGCGCTAGACACACTCACTCAATCTGTGAATGGTTTCAGGTGCCTTGGTCTTCGTATACTTGACAAGTGATGACTTCAATAAGCCGTACAAGTGTGAGGTGCACAACAACGTACTGCATGAAAATATTACAGGGAACACAACATATTTGAAAGAGGGAACATGGAACAGTAAGTTCTTCAGGTGAAGTGACCACGGTCTGTCATTTTACCTTATATTAATATTCTAGCTTCTGATTGGTTATAGACAATCATTTTCCATGTAGAGCGCTAAAATGCGGGGTACACATTTCGTATAGCCCGCTGAGAAGTCTAGTTAAGTTTCTGAAATGAACCGATCTTTTTCGAATGCATTGGATAAAGGGAAGTAACAGGCTTCGTCTGTTATGAGTTTTGCTCCGTGAAACTGCGGACATATGTCCCGGGCCTGGATGGATGAATGTCCGTAGATAGGTTCCTTGTCTAACGATTCATCAGGATATATACGGTGTGATGTACCCTATGTGTGAGCAGTGTACCCCAAGGCTAACGCTACCGCGTCGCGGTACACAGGTTCACAAACAGGGTACACATCACACCGTATACCCCTCTATAAGTGTTTACTTACCTTTTACGTATACGTAAATAACCCTTGTCCAAATTTGATGATAACTACTACTAGGATATTAAGTCTTTGAAAGGTATTTAGAAGTGATACACATAAGGAAGAGTGGATGTCAACTTCTATATTACGAAGAAAACAACGTTTCGGAGTATATGCTTACTCCTTCATCGGGGGAAGCATATACTCCGAAACTTTGTTTTGACATCCAAATTTGGATGATTCCGAAATTGACATCCAAATGCTCTCTTCCTTACTTGTATATTAGTTTTTTTAAGAAACAAATTATTTGAAACGAAAAACTAAATTAAGAATTATTATCATGTTTAACGAAATAGCAATACAACTTTAGTTTTTTTTTAAATACGTGAAGTAGGTGAACCAAACTAAGTGATATTTAATGACACTCACTATGAGAAATAGGGTAACGTTAGCATATATACTTCTTGAACACTAAAATACATTTACATTTATTTAGTTCATCGATGGAGACAGTGAAAATATATCTCACCAACAACTATCCCCAAATATGTTGTAAACATAAACTGTTATTTAATATAGTCAGATGTAACGATGATGTATCACATGGACACTGTTAACGAAGAACTATCACCCTGTGTCGATCTAGGTCGGAGTCAAACCAAACCAAAGCTGATCACCAGCACCGGAACCACATCGGCTGCGGAGGGCGATGACGTCATACTGGAATGTGTCTTCGGCGGGGAGTGAGTGACACATACTTCAACTTGATAATTCTTTTACTCGTTTATGTGTCTTCAGAATATCTTGTAAGTGGATCATTGAGACAGGAGATATATGGATTTCAACTTCTGAACTCTTTCTACAAAACTATCTGAGGTTATTCATTGCTTCTTCGTCAGTATGGTGATCGTTCATTCCTGACAAAGTTTGTTTGTTTGTTTGTTTGTTTGTTTGTTGTTTAACGCCGCAGTCAGCAATATTCCAGCTATATGAAGACAGGAAGTAGCATTCTGTGTGAACACCGAAGTTGAAATCAGATATCTTGTGTCTCTAAATTCACATAACAGTACCAGATGTTTGGCTTGGATTGTTTGTATGTTGTTAAAGGCCGCACTCAGCAATATTCAAGCTGTTAACGGCAGTCTGTAAATAATCGAATCTGGACTAGGCAGTCCAGTGATTGACATCATGAGCATCAATCCACTCTATGGGATACGAAGGGGCGGTCGGGTAGCTTAGTGGTTAAAGCGTTCGCTCGTCACGCCGAAGACCCGGGTTCGATTCCCGACATGAGTACAATGTGTGAAGCCCATTTCTGGTGCCCCCCGCCGTGATATTGCTGGAATATTGCTAAAAGCGGTGTAAAACCACACTAACTCACTCACTCACTATGGGATACGAAGACATGCATTAGCGAGCCTGACCACCCGATCCCGTTTTTCGCCTCTTACGACAACCAGAGTCTCCTTTTAGGGCAAGCATGGGTTCCTGAAGACCTATTCTACCCCGGATCGTCACGGGAAAGGAAGCTTGAGTTATAAACAGTGTGTTGTAAGGTATAGAATATGTTTTTGAAAAAACATATAATATTGTGCATTTTTGTCTGAACCAAATCTTTTTCTCAATTTACCAAACTGTCATCCTATTCTTTGTAAACTCCCCAGCCCAGCGCCCACGGTAACATGGACGAGGAGACACGCCCGGGAGGCCCGTCACAAATACAGCTATCCCGCGACTAAAGGGAGCCAACTGCGTATAGCGGACGTAGCTCTGAGTGATGGCGGAGAATATAGGTGCCAGGCTAAAAACCCACCGGGAGAGGCTGAAGCAACAGTGACTGTAAACATCAAAAGTACGAAGTACCTAATACTGTAAATCTTGAAATTAACGCCAGCGTGAATTAAATGCGAAAAATGCGAGTAGTCTTTGCTCGCATTATTAAACAACGCATTTATATCAACAATAAGACATTTTGGATAGCAGAAATACCAACCCAGACATACGCTGAAAACAAACAACTATGTATTTCCACATCGCTGTTTATTGAGCAGCACTTGTAACAAGTATATAAACAGTGTCGTTCAAACACTAATTGCTCCCTCCTCCCCAACCCCATCGGTATCTATTCCAAATCTCAAAATTCCTAAAATCTATATAAGCAACCCCCAAAGCCCCGCCCCCTCTTGGGTTGCACACACCACTTTCGCCCCTTTCGGAAACGCATTAAATGGCCGGGCCGGGCCTGTGTTCGAAATACGCATCAGTCGGAAAGCGCACGTAAATCTCCAAAGTAAGTAAGTACGTAAGTAAAATTACATCCTGTGAATTGTCACTGTGGGGGTCAAGACAGGAGTTCTACACACTTAGGTCATCACTGATGACACCTGCAAGTCCAGACAGACGCCACCCACGCAACACGGTATCTTTGTTCTTTGCGACTGCCGAGGCCGACACGAGCCAGCGCGCATGTATTGTTTAGCGGAAGTATTCTAATCAGTGCTAATGAGCGGTGCTATTTGGTGTGTGATTGGATTAATGTAAGGTTGGATGAGGGTGAGGATTTAAACTGTAAATAACTTTTCTGATCGCAGTGAAAAGTATGATGAATGAACAAACTCGAAAAGCCTTTAATTGCGATGGTACATATGTCAAATGATGAGAGTCAATAATATTTGATATACATGTACGTCTACAATTTCAAGATCTCGCTGCATTTTGTTTGTTTCTTGTTTAAAGCCGCACTCAGCAATATTCCAGCTATATGACGGCGGTCTGTAAATAATCGAGACAGGATCAGACAATCCAGTGATTGACATCATGAGCACCGACCTACGCAATTGGGATACGATGACATGCATCAACAACGACAGTGAGCCCGACCACCCGATCCCGTTAGTCGCGTCTTACGACAAGCAGAGTCGCCTTTTTACGGCAAGCATGGGTTGCTGAAGATCTATTCGACCCCGGATCTTCACGCGTCCCCTGCATATTTTTATCAGCTGTGATGCATAGCATAACCGATCACTATATTTACGGTTTACGCTGCAAAAGATGTATACATTGTTCATGTATTTTACAGAAAAGCCAGCTTTGCTGTTTCCAAATTCTGTTGAGTCACGTTTCCTCGTCGCCGGAGACAATGTTACCTACAACTGTATTCCCGACTCCGGACTGGAATCCAGATGGCTTTTCGATGGAACGTCACTCGATGATGGTATGTATTTATAGAAAGAGATGTTTATAATTGCTCAACTCGATTAATATAAGTGGTATGACATTATTATTTGTTAACCATTTCCATACTAATAAGAAATAAGGTGTTGTTTACGAAAAGGTGAGCGTATCCTGCTGCCCCAACTGTGGCACGTCACATATTGGGGGAGGAGGTGTATGTGTGTGTGTGTTGGGTGTGTGTGTGGGGGGGGGGGGGGGGGGGGGGGTCGTCTAAGGCGCCTCGATTCGCTGTGCAGAGTTGCGTCCGTTGTGCACGCCAGAAACCTATGATTGTGGGTTCGAATCTCGGTTCGCCCCGATTATGGTTCTAGGTTTGTCAGCACCATACCCGTGCTCGTGTGTTAAAAGCGGTGTTAAACCCAACTCACTCACTCACTCGCGTAACATATGTCATGGCAAATCATGTGTTTACCTGGACAAACGAGGGATATATAGCACCAGTCAAAATAGAGAATTGCATGGGACATTATATTTGTCACTGATGTGTCACGAATGATGTGTAAAGAGTATCCTAGTCCTACCTAGTCCCATAACTTGTTTGGCCGGTGGGGTAGCTGAGAGGTAACAGCGTTCGTCTTTCACGCCCAAGCCCAGGGTTCTATTCTCCACATGGGTATAATGTCTGAAGTACAGTTCTGGTGTCGCCCGCAGTGATATTGCTTGAACATTGCTAAAAGCGACATGTACCTCACTCACTCATATATAAATACAACAGCTTGAATTACAAATACAAACATAAGCTGAACGGTGATAATAGCATACTTGTTATTGAAAATTCTAATATTTTGCTTATATATATTTTACACAAAAGGGACCAGTGTTCGAACGGCGTTCTCGTTAACATGTTGTCATAAATATGAATGAAATGATTGTCTCTTACCATTGTTATCCAGGGACGGAACAACTTCTTTTGGGCAATAACAAAAAGTCACTGACCATCACATCAACTAGAAGTGACCGAGAGGGTATCTGTGTCCAGTGCAACGTCAGTAACGACATCGCCTACACCCTGTACAGCGCCTGTGTCAGATACGTGGGTAGGTTGCAGTTTTCCTAATGGCAGTTGGGAATATCATGGCACGAATAGCACAGATACTTGTGAGGCGCCGAACATCGATGTATGGAGTTGCGGCCGGAAGGTGTGTCAGAGGTCAAAGATGGTGGGCTCGAGTCCCAGATATGCCATGATAATATGTATCTAAATGTAGGTTCGTCAGTTCGGGGGTTCGCTAAAGTGGCACACGTCTTCGGTCTTTCCTCCCAGCGAAACCTAGACCTCAACCAATCCACCTAAACCCCCAAACTCACCCAAATGGACGTTCAATGTCTTCTCCTATAGCCTTGCACATGCACGTCGCTTTATGTCTTGAACGTGATGTGGGGGTACGGGTGGCCCATTTGCCTAAGGCGCCGCGATTCGCTGTGCAGAGTTACGTCCCCTGGGCACGCTAGAAACCTATGATTGTGGGTCCGAATCCCGGTTCGCCCCGATGATGTTTCTAGGTTTGTCAGCACCATACCCGTGCTCGTGGGTTTCACCGAAGTGGTAAACGTCTGAGACCTGCATCATTTCGGGCTTTCCTCCCACATTAAGCTGACACGCCGCGATATAACTGGAATACCGTTAAAAGCGGCGTTAAACCCTCACTCACCCACTTGAACCAATTTCACCTCGTCTCACTTCCATCACTTATGTTCCAGCCACTGAAGCAGACCTACCAACAACAACCATGATCATCAACACGCAAGGTAATCAACTGCAGCGTATATTAACCTTCATGGCCTTGGCACACAGGCTTGATTTGTGTTTTCTGAAAAATGTTTTTCATGAAGAGAAATAAAATGATGTTATCATGTTACCTCACATGTTACCGTACAATGCACTTTATATATGAATGTGTTTGCATTCATATTTCTTGATCATAAGACAGTTTGGGAAGGACATCTCATGAAACACAAAAGTGCGTTTGGTCGTCCTCTTGTGCACATTCGGCTGGTAGTTCTATAGTCAAGAAAATTAGAAACGTGTATGTACGTTTCTTGGTAAACTTCACGAAGGCGTGAAGATCGGGATTCCGGAGTAACAGGGTCTTGATTAACGAGTGTCCGTTTTAGCGGGATTTACACTTACAAGGTCCCCTGGGTTCAGTATAAAAGGACCTAGTGGTTAAAGCGTTCGCTCGTCACGCCGAGGACCCGGGTTCGATTCCCGACATGGGTACAATGTGTGAAGCCCATTTCTGGTGTCCCGCGCCGTGATATTACTGGAATATTGCTAAAAGCGGCGTAAAGCCATACTCACTAACTCACTTCAGCATAAAAAGGGTCATCGGTGGTGCAGGGTATAGGGGTTTCCGGGGTCGACACTAACGACGTTTCTGAGAAGTTCAAGTAATGCAGAAGTACGACTTTTACAGAGGAACGGAAATTCAGTTAAACGGTTTACCAAAAGACCAGGGACCGAGTTAGGTATAATATGATACTGATAATTAGAAGTCATCGGTAATCTGGGCCATATCTAAACCACAGGGGTAATATCAGTTGTCTTGACTGCCAAGAGTTTTCATGCTTTTGTGAACTGGCCCCAAGGATGTCTCTGTTTTCTCTTAAGATCCATCTACGCTGTCGACATTCAAGCTGTGGTGGGTTCTTAATCCCGTCGTCATTGTCACTGCCGTCGTCATCATCATCGCCGTGGTCGTCGTTAGCGTGAGGTACACAGCTGAGACAAAAAAGCATAAAAAACACATATTAATATCAAAGTTATATTCATTCTTAGGCAACGATATTCGGATGTTACCAGCATGACCTGCGAATTCTTTTTTTAAATACTCAGTAAAATTTAGTTTTTGTTTCAAATGAGCGAATTTGTTTTTCAGAAAATCATATAACGCCCCCATATATATATTTCTTAAATAGTCCTCTCTCGGCATCAAGTATTCTCTTCCATTACATTCACTAGTTGTTAGTGATTCATAAACACATCTTCATGTTCTCGTCGGAATCGTACTTTAAGGGTTTTGTCGTTTTTATTCATGGACACTTGTTTTATCTTAGACCGCCTCCGTGGTCTAGTGGTAGAGAGTCCGCCCAGAGAGCGGAAGGTCCGGGGTTCGATCCCCGGCCGCGTCATACCAAAAGACGTTAAAAAATGGTACTTGTTGTTACCCTGTGGGCTCGTCATTAAGGAACTAAAACAAGAACTGGTCGGCTCGGAGTCAGTATACTGAGTGGGGCATTCATGTTAAACTGCGGCATGGTATCTCAGTAGGCTAGCACTATAAATCGGCATCAGTCCGGACTAGTACAAGCGGCCACATACACACGTGCATGCACGTAGCTATATAAGTGCAATAATCTTAATAATAACCGCGACGTTAAACCCAATTTCACCTCACCTTGTTTTATCTTGCTTCCTTATCAGGCGCCGAAGAGCAAATGAGAAGAAGCGCCTGTCCACCGTAGGAAGCACAGTGGACCTGCCAAACAAGGCTAGCATCTACTGGGAGGCCCATCAGCTTATAGAACAGACATCGGATAAAGGGCGCATCGCACAGGTCGCAAAGAAACAACAGCAAGATGACCTCTGGAACGAAATTATATAGACCAGGGTGCGATTTATGACTTTTCTACCTTGCATTCACAAGGGCGTACATGTTGGCTGTCAATTTCATGACAAACAAATGCATTCAGCAGTTGCTCGCTTCCCTTGCTGATGTCTTGAAGGCGCCGTTTCCATTTGTAATGTCCATGCTCGTGTGTCATGTACTAACCTGTACATCAGGGTCTGGTGAGGTTGTAACCACTTTGAAATGTGTTCATAATGATTTGGGTGTACCTCCTTCCGCTGCTCATAGCAGGACAAGGTGTGTTGGAATTAGAAACACACGTTTTCTCATTGAAGTGACCAGCCTCATCTGGTCTTGCAATAGTTGACCATTTCTACAATTTACGTTTGAAGTACAAATGCCAGTACTAAAATGCCTTTTAAATGTTACTTATTAGTTTATTATTAATTTCATAATATTGCGATGATGTATCAGATTGATGCCGGAAATGCTAACATTTATGATCTCAATTTCCGCCTAAATATGTTGTTTTTTTGTTTGTTGGTTGGTTTGTTTGTTGTTTAACGCCACACTCAGCAATATTACAGCTATATGACGGCGGTCTGTAAATAATCGAGTCTGGACCAGACAATCCAGTGGTTGATATCTAGTCAAACTCGGAAAGTTCACGGGACCAGCACATTATTGAAGGTCCTTAATGGCGACTGGAGGAGCCTCATCACTTAATGGAGGCAAATAAGATGGACCAGACAATCCAGTGGTTGATATCATGAGCATCGATCTACGCAACTGGGTAAGATTACATGTATCAACCAAGTTAGCGAGCCTGACCACCCGATCCCGTTAGTCGCCTTTTACGGCAAGCATGGGTTGCTGAAGACCTAGTCAAACCCGGAACGTTCACGGGACCAGCACAGTATTGATAGTCCTTAATGGCGACTGGAGGATGCTCTTCACTAAATGAAGTCAAATAAGAAAGTGAGAAAAGTTGTTAGCCACAATGATTTTATGCAGTAATTACTCTAAACGTCATACATTCAAATGATCCCGGGGGTAGAAATTGTCTCTGGCACCCTACATTGGGAACCCGTGGAATTCATAATTAGAATTCATCCCTTTGCTGGTCGTATGAGGCGATTTAATAGATGGATAAGGACCGACGACTTTTTAAGGCGTGTCAAGGTCGCCCGATAGTTTTGGTTGGTTGGTTTGTTGTTTTACGCCGCACTCAGTAATATTCCAGCTATATGACGGCGGTCTGTAAATAATCGAGTCTGGACCAGACAATCCAGTGATTAATATCATGAGAATCGATGCACGCAATTGGGATCGATGACATGCATCAACCAAGTCAGCGAGCCTGACCACCCGATCTCGTTAGTCGCCTTTTACGACAAGCATAGTCCCCTTTTACGGCTAGCATGGGTTGCTGAAGACCTATTCTACCCCGGAATCTTCACGGGTCTCGCCCGATAGTGTAGATTGTTGCCCCTAATATCAATCTCTAGTTTGTTTGGTCCAGATTCGATTATTTACAGGCCGCCATCCTATAGCTTGAATATTGCCCAGTGGCATCCACGCACGCAATTAGATACTGTATTTTTTATAATGACTAAGATTAGGTGTTTCAAGCTTTGAATGTTTTGGTTTTTTTATTGTGGTTTATTGTGAAACATTTGAGTTAATAGTATATGTATATATAATGCTTGCCTTCCTCTTGTAATCTATTTCTGCAAATAAATTTGAAATCACTCAAAATGTTGGTGTTGTATTAGCTGACCTGACTGGAAGTCCTGTTAGCACTAGTCATGGCCGTTTGTCTGTCGTGGGTCGTGCGTATTAAGAACATTGGAAGAAAATGTGAGAAACGATAGTGGCAAACTCCGTACTTATAGATTTTTTAAATCCGCATAAACTACAGAACCTTATGTCACAAAGTAATTACCAAAATCACACGTAGTGCTATGGCCAAGTTTAGATGTGGGGTCGCCCTGATCCGAATAGAGACTGGTCGGTATGAGAACCCCCCTGTAGATCATCGTATCTGCCCTCTGTGTTGTAATGAGACAGAAGATGAGACCCCGTTATACTGAAATGTGCTGTATATGATGAGGTGAGACATGCCAGGGAATGTACTGCATATGAGATGAATGAAACTTATTATGATTTTAGTGATGTTGAAAAACTATGTTATTTGTTCTCCTCTATTGATTAAGTAAATATTGTTGTCAAAACCACTTATGCAATACTCGAACGCAGGCGTCGTCGTTTATATAGCACATAGTAATGGGTGCATCTATTTTTAGCTATAATTGTATTTTATACCTTTTTATTTTCAGAGTAATAATTTTGTATATAATTTAGATTTAGTCTCTCATAATTCCAAAAGGAATGGTGTATATTTTAAAATGTTTTATCTATGTATTTATGTTTGCCTGTGAGACGTAAACAAAATATCTGTCTGTCCAATTTGTTTGAGAGTTTGGAGTCCGAATTTCGATATGGCCGTCATGGCAGCCATATTGAAAATAAGCGTTTATGGACATTACTCGGCCTTTTTGCTTCTAAATGTATTGAAATGTGATATATGGGTAGTAAGTAGTGGGACCCAGCACAATGTCATGTGACATTCGATATCGTAAACTTTTACCCTTATTTTTACATTTCCGATTTAACATTACTGGAAGTTAAATTTCTTAAGGCTATTTTCAGTCAGTTACGTTCCAAATTTAAGAAAGTGTGGTACTGTGCAACATTTGAAGCTGGTAGTGGGGCATCACTATGTGTTTCTTGTCATTAAAGTTCCCATCTTATTATATATTTGAGTATTTATTGAAAGGCGAGGATCCTCCGTTCTGCATCCCTTATGATGAAAGCATCACACTCAAGCATGTCTTGCTTGACCGAGTTGATTTTTCAATCACATGTATTTTTCATTCATAAAGGATCTTTTTAATATCAGTTCTAATTTAATTGTTGTTTCTTTTAAACGAAATTTGACTAACAGATAACAAGTTTGCCTTACCTGTGATTGTTATTTCTTTTTATTATAATTATGTATAATCGCAGTCTATTTTCGACTATTTTTATAGCAGCAAGCTCAGGTTATCTTACGGTGTGGCATGTTGACCGGCAAAATTATATATATATAATTCCGTCAGGGATAACAAAACTCTGACCCAATTCTTAACTGTTTACTGAAGTTGATGTATCTATTATAATGAAAAGTATGGGTTTTTTATGTTGTTTACCCGTATAATTGATTTAATGCAAACTTTGCAAAAACATCAGGTGAACCTTATAGCTCCACAGGTACTATATATTACAAAACTGGATACATTTTTCTATTTTCTGTACACTTTAAGGTTGCTGGTTTATATTTTTGAAATGGAAATTTAACCCACAGATATCATGATAACATAGGATCTCTTTGAGTGCTTGCAGTGATATATTGACATGCTCTAAGATCAGCTGGTTACATCGCGGCGTGTCAGGGACGCAACTCTGTACAGCAACTCTTAGACGACTAGGCCACCCGTGTCCCCTATGAATGGTTTATGTAGTGTGACTGTGTCACTGTGGTTTATAATGGCGTTATTCACGCGACCTAGGTTCGATTCCCCTCATGGGGAATGTGAAGGTATAACGCCTATTTCAACAACAGTGCTATGAGCTTTGAAGTGTCACAAAGCCGATTCAAGACAGTTTGTGAACAATGTCAGCACATGTCATCAAGATTCACAATATGTGAAATACTGGACATCCTCTTTGATAACAGGGGCGGTCGGGTAGCCTAGTGGTTAAAGCGTTCGCTCGTCACGCCGAAGACCCGGGTTCGATTCCCGACATGGGTACAATGTGTGAAGCCAATTTCTGGTGGCGCCCGTCGTGATATTGCTGGAATATTGCGAAAAGCGGCGTAAAACCATACTCACTCACTCCTTGATAACATCCACATGTATTTGACACAATTTTATAGCTGGAATATTGCTGACGCGGTGGCACACGAAACGTGTTTGTCAGCATGTTCTGACAATAGTTTCATAAGAAGATAAATCAGCTAAGTATGGGGAAACGGGGAAATGTGTACCAGTTATATGACCCAGGTGATGCAAGTCCATAACACAAAACTTAAATGTGTCGTTGACGTACCGGATTACGTGGGAGTACCAATCATCATAGAATTATTTCCTCGTTTCATTTTATCACGTGTATCAGTAGGTGTAGGGAGTCTTCATTAGGTCACACTTATTACAAAGCACAACTGGCCGCATTATGGCATGGGATAGCCTCGACAAGAGCTAGAGAGAAAACATCACATGGCTGTGTTGGAAGAGACACAGATGATGCTTCAAACAGTTTAACTGGATACAGATATCCGGGTGAGTACAGAAGGGTGAGATTTTCGTTGTTCTCTCTGAGTGTTAATCATGCATAAATGCATCTTCGTAACTTTAATCAGCCAAAAGAAATACATTAAAATATTTTCACCAACACTGTCTAAACTGGTCAGTGATTATAGTGAGTGAGTGAGTACGGTTTTACGCCGCTTTTAGCAATATTCCAGCAATATCACGGCGGGGGACATCAGAAATGGACTTCACACATTGTACATGTCGGGAATCGAACCCGGGTCTTTGGCGTGACGAGCGAACGCTTTAACCACTAGGCTACCCGACCGCCCCTCAGTAATTATAGACCCCGTAGGAATTCCTGGTTAGAATGGATCAAGTCGTCGGGCTCGGTGACTGGGGTTTCCGAGTCATCGTATCCCGATGACGTTGCTGTTAATAACAATCACAGGATTAATATCTGGTCTACACTCCTCTATTTAAAAGTCGGCATCATTTTGCTGGACCACTGTTCAAACGCATAAAAACAGGAATTCGATGAAAACTGTAGTAAAAACTGAATATTCGAAAAAAAACGACAGAAGAAAAAATGAAATGCATAACGTTTCTGCCCAGCAAACTAACAACTTAATCCTCGATTAACAACCCGTGACTATCCGGGGTACAATAGGTCTTCAGCAACCCATGTTTGCCACAAAATGCGACTATGCTTGTCGTGAGAGGCGACTAACGGGATCGGGTGATCAGGCTCGCTGACTTGGTTGATGCAGTCATATTGATGGAATATTGCTGAGTGCGGCGTAAAACGACAAACAAATAGTCTGTAACATGTCCTTCCAATAATTCTTTATTTCTGGGCCCACTTGCACAAAGCGATCTTAGCGCTAAGATGATCTTAACTCCCATACTTTAACATAGGCTTACAATAGTCTTAGTGGTAAGATCTTTTTGTGCAAGTGGCCCCTAGTGTCCATTCACTACCACATGCTCATGATATCAATCACTGGATTGTCTGGTCCATAATGGATTATTTACAGACCGCCGTCATATAGCTGGGATATTGCTGAGTGCGGCGCTAAACAACAAACCAATCACAGCTGCGTTATGATTTCGATTGCCGCAAATATAGACATTCGACCTTGATACATTACAGTCAGCTGCCGAACTGGTACCTAGTACCTAGCATAATAAGCATAATAGAATCTTAGAATGGATATACAATACCCTGGATAATCGAGGATGTTTCTGTTTTTTTGCAGTCTCGTTGTCCACAAAATGACCCTTACCCCTCTTATATTAGCTTTATGGACAGAGTTGTGTGTTAATGCGCTGGGCTTTAAGGGCCCCGGGACATCCGAAGAGACAACAGACAGTGGGACCATCCGTGTCCGTGTTTGGGTATCGCGTTCTGCCTTCACCGTCAACAGGAAGGTTCATTACGTCAGTGAAGGCAGCCTTGTGACCTTACTGTGTGACCCTGACAAGGAAATTAAAAGTGGAATTCGAAGGTAAACAAGTTACGGGACAGTTACAGTATCCGTAATGATAGAGTACCACAGGGAAAATAATCGCCTTTTAAATTAGAAAAGTATACCCACAGATTCTGATTGTTTGCGTGAGGATGGTATTGAATAACATCGAGAATACAATTTGAAACTGTTCGTAAATATATTTATTTTTTATTGTTTTGCAAACAAATATCATTTAAATAAGTGTACATACATTCACAAATATGCCTTTTTATTACGGCCGAATGTAATGGCTGGCGCAGTCTTCTTAGATGCCAAATTTCTCTATGCCGAGTTACCTCCCTTAGGCCTGTTCAAAACCTGTGCTCGTGTGTTTTCCAACATCTGAGATCTACCGTGAATTAACTAAATACTGTTAAAAGCGGCGTTATAAACGCAGGCTCATGATACAGTCGGAATCGTAGATCGACTTTTTAATTCCAATTATGATTAATTCTATAACGAGGCTTACAAGTGCTACTTTTGGCACACGGCATTGTTTCTACAAGTATGCCCAAGACGTTTCAACAGTCATGTCTGTACAGAAAGGAATCCCTTTGTTATTTGGTTATAGTATAACACCAGAGACCATATGATATAGGGTCTCTGATGACACCTGGTGTCATCACTGATTGTCAGAGGTTCATTCATATCATTTTCACAGCTATTTTGCTCTTTACTCAAATGGAATCCGTTTCGGCGGGCGGATAATCAATACTGGTTATTCTCTTGCATTGACATTTTATATTATAGTAGTTAGTTAGTAAGTGTTACTTTATGTCGCCCAGCCTTTGCATATCGTTTGACCGTTGGTTTGGCTCAATTCCTAGTACGTTAAAGTCAAAGGAGTCCTACCACGTCAAGGAGACACGACGTGATATAAATGAAATACTGTTCAAAGCGGTGGTCAACCGAATCCCATCACGCACTTTCTTAAGGGTCGAAAGTTCAGCTGTGTAATGTATGTGATCCGAAGATCCGAAGATCACATTGTTGGAATGGTCACATTTAAGAATAACTGTTGCAGCATATCGTGGGTCTACGATGGCGCCACGTCAAAGACAGATACGACATGTGACTACCCAACTGAAGTGGAAGACACTTTCACAAGGCAATTAGTTGCAGAAAACGAGGGATCGTACAACTGTCTGGTGAACACCTCTAAAGGAACGCTTTTGTCAGAGACAATTGTGCTGAAGATTGCTGGTAAGGCCGCTACTTGCAAAACAGAGTCCTACACCTATGATGTACCGATGTCTTCATCTGAATCTTAAAGTATTTAAGTAGAACATTTTATTTTCAACAAGGACTACACGTTCTTTATATACTACTCAAAAGAAGTTAAGGACCACTTGATTCTTTCATATTACTACAGGTAATCTGGCATGCCATGTTGTATTTTATAGTAATATGAATCAGGCGGTCCTTAACTTCTTTTGAGTAGTATACATTACGCCGCAATTCGCCGTGCGGATTTGCGCCACTTGGGCACGCCAAAAACCCTCCTGGGTTCGAATCCCGGTTTGCCCAGGTTAATAATATGTTTCTAGGTTTGTCAGCGCCATACCCGTGCTCGTAGGTTTCACCTGCATCACTTTGGCGCCGCAATCCGCGCTGCAGAATTCGAGACAAAACATGTGGTTCTCTGGTTCTTCTTGCCCAGAGACAATCATTCTGTAATCTGAAAGGAGACTCACATTTGTTAACAACTTCCATCGAACGATTTTATTTGGTACACCCCAGGGCAAAATTATGTTTCCGCTTATTTCATGAACACATAATATTTTTGGAAAAATGTCACATGCCTCCTTCCAAAAATCTCAGATATATATAGCCAAATATAAGTCTTACAATAAGATATATTTCAACTTTGTTTTGGCTTTGCAAACATAATATTCTGAATGACTGTTTGTAGTTCTCACTCAAATACCCGTCGTCCACTACTGGCATGACATCATCAGAGATCCATATCTGCTACCCTGTGACGTCACGAAGTACTTCATACCACGTGGTGAAGTCACGTGGTTTAAAGACAAGAAAGAAGTCCAAGGAGCTACAAACTTGTACATAGATATTGACGGTATGCGCTTTGTCAACACGTGATTCATGGTTATGCATTTACAAAAGCAAAGCATTTTACAAAAATGGATATATCTACTATGTCCTATCATACTTACAATAAAGGGCGGTCGGGTAGCCTAGTGGTTAAAGCGTTCGCTCGGCACACCGAAGACCCGGGTTCGATTCCCGACATGGGTACAATGTGTGAAGCCCATTTGTGGTGTCCCCCGCCGTGATATTGCTGGAATATTGCAAAAAGCGGCGTTAAACCATACTCACTCATAGTTACAATGAGATTTTTTAACACGACTACACGCTCGTCTCAAAGTATGTACCACTTACTGGTTATCACGTTTGATGCTTTAAACATTCAACCATTTTTTTTAAACAGGATAGTGATCCACTGACCGGTGCCCAATTGCGCCAAAAATTGTACGTGTAATTTCCTCGATAATGTCGTGACTTAAATAGAGCTTGAGTATGCTAGGAATGTACATGATACAAAGCGAATGAACACATACAATCTTTGCCCGGTACTTGATGACCGTTTACATATACGTCTTACATGGTAAGACTGAACATACACATTGCATTTTGTGTTCATACAACCTACTTAAACAACAAGATATCAATGTAACCCTTCTTATCTTTACGAATTTCTTCATTTACCTTTAACTTCCTTTTTTGATACCTCCGTATTTAAATGATATTCTCATGTTACATAACCCTGTCGTTTTTACCGTAACTTTGTCAATAGTAAATCTTCATAAATTATGTGTCAATGATTATATAAACTGATAATTTCGTCAACAATATGCGTGCATTAGGTGAGAGGTGGATCGAGGGTGTTGCTGAACATGTGTCTAAACATTAATTTAAGGATTTGTTCCAAGTTCAAACAACGGAGTGAATTGGGGTCACAGAATAGCTAATTTGTAAATTGAGCTGGGTCTCCGGTCCGTTTTAGGAAACAGTAAAATGAGCGTTGATGCCGTTTGTTGTCAATGTATCAAAACAATAAAACGTCATTTCTATTTTACTGACGACACCTTTGGTGCATATGTCACTGTTATATTTAAATACTTTACATGATAAGTTTTCAAAAAAGAAAATGAGTTAGGACTGTTAATGGTTGTGGGCTCCGGTGTTCTGGTACTTACATTTACTTACGATTTTAACAATAGAACAGGGTTATGTCATATAGTTACGTAGGCGAGACCAGTCATTTAATAAAAATAAAATTCAGAAAAACTCCTCAAGAAGTTACTTCTGATTTCAGGGGCATTGAACTTCCTCTACCTCACAGCTGCTGACTTTGGAAAGCCCTACTACTGTAAGGTGCACAGCAGAAAACTACAACAAACCATTGTAGGAAATACAACCTTTGTCTTGAAAGACGCCTGGACACGTAGGTTGTTTCTTTGTTTTATCTACGAAACAACACTTTTCCACTCTTTGATATGCCCAGACAGCATATACGTATCGTCAATGATACTTTATCGTGAGCTCGTATCTGGTTCGTGGAGTCTTGCACGGATCATATTTCAGCTGTATGTATAAAGCCTTAACAGTTTAAAATGCAAGGGAAGTGTGATGCAGGTTTCAGACGTTTACGAGCATAGACAGGGTATCATAATCATAAGTATCATAATCAGGGCGAATCAGGGATTCGAACCCACAATCATTCTTTTTTGTATTCGATCTTTGCAGGGGGCACGGATGGCCCAGTCGTCTAAGGCGCCGCGATTCGCTGTGCAGAGTTGCGTCCCTTGGGCACGCCAGAAACCTATGATTGTGGGTTTGAGACCCGGTTCGCCCCGATTATGTTCCTAGGTTTGTTTCTAGGTCTGTCAGCACCATGCCCGTGGTAAACGTCTGAGACCTGTATCACTTCGGGATTTCCTCACACATTAAGCTGACACGCCGTGATATAACTGGAATACTGTTAAAAACGGCGTTAAACCCAACTGACTCACTCACTCGATCTTTGCATGTCTCAGTTGCGCACCTCTGTACAACCACCTGCACCCGTGCCCCTGGTGGGCTGTATGTGTAAGTGACAAGCGTGTAACGTTTGTTGTCCAGATCGAGTAAACAGAAAACCAGTTCTCATAAGCAGCACTGAAACAGCGTCAGCCGCCGAAGGCGATGACGTCACACTGGAATGCAGCTTCGGTGGGGAGTGAGTACCTTGTTCATCGATTTACAAAATTTCTTACATTTTGTTGACATGATAAATAGCTGTTTATACATACACACAGAGGTATATATATATATATATATATATATATATATATATATATATATATATATATATATATATATATATACGATGGGTGGGTGGGTGGATAGACAGACAGACAGACACACACAGATAGATAGATAGATAGATAGATAGATAGATAGATGGATGGATCCAGGGTATATATGAGAATGGATGGAGATATCAAACCCTGTATTATCGAGGATGTCATCATTTAGTGTATACGTTCTTTCAGTCCTGAGCCCACAGTAACATGGACGAGGAAATACAACCACGAAGCCCGTCACAAATACAGCTCTCCCGAGACCAAAGGGAAGCAACTGCGTATAGCCAACGTAAGCGTCAGTGATGGTGGCAGTTATACCTGTACAGCAAAAAACCCATCAGGAGAAGCTGAATCAGCGATTCAATTACATGTTAAAAGTATGTTGTTTTCATCTAAAATGTTTATATGAGAAACCCCAGAGTGTATGAGTGAGAGAGGTTTTACGCCGCTTCTAGCGATATTCCAGCAATATCACGGCAGGAGACACCGCAAAATGGGCTTCACACATTGTACCCATGTGAGGAATCGTGGTAAACGTCTGAGGCCTGCATCACTTCGGGCTTGCCGCCCACATTAAGGTAACACACCGTAATATAACTGGAATATTGTTAAAAGCGGCGTCAAATCAAACTCGCTCACTCACTAGTAGATATAGGAGCTCTAATAGAAGGGGCAAGACTGCAATGCTGAGAACATCTCACATTCCAAATAGTCATACTTCCATTTGCATCGGTCCTTTCATTAGTTGAAGCAGATGCATACAGATCAAAATGACATTGCCTGTCTCGTGAACCAATATTACGTTATATTTGTTTCATCACTATTGTTGTTGAAAGCTAACATTAATCCATTTGCAGAGAAGGAACTAAACACCCAGATACGCAAACGACAAGTATTTGCTTATGTATTAAGCAAACTTGGGTAAAGTTATATGAGGATGACCTATCATGACATTCAATATCATGACTGAGACTACATCATTTTCCACAGAAACACCAGCCTTGGCGAAGCCTATTGAGTCACGTGTCCTCCTCACCGGAACTAGCGTCACGTACCACTGCGCACCAGAAGACGGTCACTTGGAATCCAGATGGTTTGTTGATGGATGGCCACAAGCTGAAGGTGGAGACTTTAATCACACTTTCGTAAAGTCAGAAAACTAAGTGAAGGTTTTATAAATTAATCATAATTTGATCTTGACAAATTTGCAGTTTGTTGTTTCCGGTTCAAATTTGATTATTGTTTCTTTGTTCTCACCTGTATATTGCACCGAATATAGTATAAATGTTTGTACATTCAATGTATCTCACAATAACATAACTGTAGCACTATGTTTATAATACCCCCGTCCGTGCAGCGCTGAAACCTTTTCTTTTCTTTCACCCCGAACTATCTACATTGGTTTCTCAATTAGTTATCTCTTAAAACAGTATTATGTCACATTCTCAGATTAACGTGACTTAACACAATACAACAGAGTCTATCTTTATAGACATTATTAACAGCAAAACCCTGATCGTGAGATCAAGTATAGCTGCTAGATAATACATATATAATTGCCTAACTCAATTAATATAAGTGAAATGATATTATTATTTGTACACAAAAGCGACAGGACCATTTCCATAATAATAAGAAATAAAGTGTTCACGAAAAGGTGAGCGTATCCTGCCCTGCTTGTGGCACACGTCACAAACATATCCAAGGTTCGAACGGCGTTCTCGTGAACATGGTGTTATAATTATGAATGACATGATTGTCTCTTACCATTGTTTTCCAGGGACGGAAAAGCTTTTTTTCGGCAAAAACAAAAAGTCATTGACCATCACGTCAACTAGAAATGACAGAGCGGGGCTCTGTGTCCAGTGCAACGTCAGTAACGACATCGCCTACACCCTGTACAGCGCCTGTGTCAGATACGAGGGTAGGTAGAGACATACACAGCACCTGTGTCAGATACGTCTCGAATCTTTTCATGTTTCAGTGTAGCATCGCTGAAAATTATATTTCAAATGAGTCTTGTCGACATAAAGTGGCAGAGACCATATAATAGATATGGTCTCTGAAAGTGGTAAGCTCTGTTGTCTCGGTATCAAGACGTGTGATGATATTGTCCTGTCTGCTTACATTTCTGATATATATACTAGTATATTATCCTTGTAATAATTAATTGACTTTATTTATTTAGATTCCACGTCTGACCCCCCTGTCACAACAGCTGCTGTCCCGACTGCAGGTAGGTCACGTTATTTACCACATACATCGCAGATACATACACTACCGGGCAAAGGAAAGTATACACCTGAAAATTGGATTTGACCAAAACATTATAAACGTTATCTAAACGTTACTAGATTTAAAACAGTCTCCAAAACATTGTGAACTTAAGGGCCAAAACACAGTTGTGATACCTGTATCAAATACATCACCATGGAATAACCATTTCTTGTTTAGTCACTATGAAATATGTACACGAACCTAAATTCGCCCATTGTCCCATCATTTTAATGTGTTTAGGAGCTAAACGTGTTCAGGGTATAAATGTGACTTACAACGAAAGTATAAGGGTCTGTCGTAGTAATCAGATGAACTTTCATTGTCAGCTTTCGTTTCCTGTATGACAGAAATGGTACTAGTCACACAGCAGTCACACATTTAGAACATAACACAAGCGGGACACCAACCTGCAACGTCTTGATTGATAGTCCTTCACGCTATCACCTGTTCTTAGGAGTGAGTGAGTATGGTTTTACGCCGCTTTTAGCAATATTCCAGCAACATCACGGCGGGGGACACCAGAAATGGGCTTCACACATTGTACCCATGTCGGGAATCGAACCCGGGACTTCGGCGTGACGAGCGAACGCTTTAATCACTAGGCTACCCGACCGCCCCTGTGCTTCGGAGAGTCAATTTTCCTATTCACCATTAACTTTGTTTATTTGTATATATCTATGTTGTTGTTTTTGTTTTGTTTTAAATCTTTATTCACATTTCAAATAAAATACAATGTGTAGCATTTCATCAAATATTATTATACATTATTCAAGAGCCAATCCCTTTACATCAAACTTTCAAAACCTTTTGCAAATATAAACACTCATAAAATATCATATCTTACTAGTATTCTTTGCTAGGATTGAAAAGTCTGTGGAAGGAAGACCAAAACTGAAAGAAATCTGTATAATTGCAATTTATATATTTATGTTAGTATTGTTCCACGTGTGAATCTGATTTGCAGATTTAATTCAATAACACATCTCATCTATATTATCTTAATGTGCAAAGATAAGCCGTTATTTAAACATGTTTAAATATTAAAAACGTTTAGATTATTGGGATAATACATAATGATATACATGATGTACATTTTGTCGTAAATAAGTTTTTACATGTTTAAATTCTACATAAGTTTAGATTTTAAATATGTTTACGTTATAGGGTGTTGTGTTTAGATGGTGTTTAGGTTGTGAGACGATAGCTCATTTCATGTGTTTTGCCCTAAACGTGTTTATATAGAACATTCAAATGTGTATTGCTTTTAGGATTTAAACACATTCCTAAACATGTTTAGACCTAAACATGTCGTTTATATGTTTACATTATATACACATTTTGTAAAGGGATTTTATCGAAAAAAATGCTTGAAAAACAAATAAGTATGCTTCAGACTTAACAAAATTGTCTGCTATAAAAAAAAAAACATTGTTGCAAGATTATATTTTTAAATACATGTAGAATATTTAGGCTCATAGTTTTGATTAATGACTATCTTACATCCTTGCCAATCCCAAAATCCCTTTCTCCCCTCCAGTCCATGAATATCAACAAATTGTTCATTCACTCAGTGAAGGTGGATTGTCCGTACCAATTGTAATAGATATACTCCGTAGATTTAATCTGACAGACAGGCTAATATTAAAACCGACCATATGACATTATCTTATCTAGAAAGTGGTGTGTGTATGGGTTGGAGTGTCGATGAGACACAGTCGTGTAAGGCGCAGCAACTCACTGTGCAGTCGGAAACCCGTGTTCGTGGATTCGAAAGCCAGATCTCGCACTGATAATATTTCTAGCTTTGTCAGCACCATACTCTACATGTATCTGTATGTTGCATCATATAGGTAAATATCTAAGAATAGTATCACTTCGGGTTGGAATTCCGTGATATATAGGAAATCAAAGCGTACATAAACCAAACTCCCTCAGTAACAATCTCATCTACGTGTATCCGGTAACTAAACAGAAGTTCATTCATGCTGACAATCACGTAAATGTGTGTATTAATGGTTTGCACAAATCCAAATTGTTTGTGCATCTGCTTCGATATGTGAAAGTCATCAAATACATCAGTCTGATTATTTGTTTTCTATGCTGTGGAAAGTCAAGCTATGGACAGTGCTTGTTCCAGTCGCACTTGTCATCATTGCCGGTATCTTCATCATCATCAGCTACATCGGTGTGAGGTAATAATAATAATAATAATAATAATAATAATAATAATATATATAAAGAGAGAGAGAGAGAGAGACACGCTTTTCACCAAAGTCACTGAGCCTCACCAGCCGATCCATTCTATCTAACATTGATCAATATGTATTCGAACAACTTCGATTTACTAATTTTCTACATTCCGCAGATTAGGTGGGTTTAGTCATCACGAAGGAATATGACGTCATTCATCCCAACCTGACATCATAATTATCCTTCCAGAATGACATCATGCCTATCTCATAGCAACGGAAAATGTCGCAAAAACATGTGTTTTCAGTTTTGCGAGTGTTTATCTGCTAATTTTCAGACGCCGAACGAGAGGCCTCCCTACTGTTGAAACTGAGCTTCCAACCACGCCCACCCTTTACCTTGAGGCCCATCAGCTCATAGAACAACGCATTTCTCACCTCCACAAGAAACAAGAAGATGGTCAGCGGGACGGTACTATATAACTGTGTACTGAATCGTCGTGTTGACGATGTGCTGTTAACCATCTGTCGCCATTGCGTGCTTAATTGTAGATTTCTGATTGTTGCGAAGGATTTGCTGTCACGTGTGTTCGTGCATTGTGCCTTATATATGTCACTGCAATGTAGACAAACTAGCCATACTCGCACCCCTAACCCATTTTTCCAAGACCCCTTGAAAACCGTACCATAACTTGTTGACAACTGTCAATACCCGTTGAAACTGTACCAGATTTGTTGACAACTGTACAAAAAACAACAACAACCAAACTTGTTGACAACAGTACCAAGACGTGTTAGACAACTGAACCATGACCCGTTAAACTGTATGTTGAACAATATACTAAGAAAATGCACACTGCCTTGCGGTAGAAATGTTTACTCAGCGTCAACGTTGTGAAACGTTTCACGTGCTATCTGACGTTGACGTTGACTTTGACGTTCCAGAGTCTCGATTTGCATGGTCTTCCCCTCTGATGGCATATTCAGGTTCTATTTTGTGTTTTTACCCAAATATATTACAGCATACCCGACACGGAGCTGTGAGTGAGTTTGGTTTAACGCCGCTTTTAACAGTATTACAGTTATATCGCGGCGTGTCAACTTAATGTGAGAGGAAAGCCCGAAGTGATGCAGGTCTTAGACGTTTACCACTTCGGTGAAACCCACGAGCACGGGTATGGTGCTCACAAACCTAGAAACATAATCGGGGCCAACCGGGATTCGAACACACAATGATAGGTGTCTGGCGTGCCCAAGGGACGCAACTCTGCACAGCGAATCGCGGCGCCTTAGACGACTTGGCCACCCATGCCCCCGACACGGAGCTGTGCTCCAGTGATCAGGTGTGTCATTGAACAAGAATAAAGCAATAGAAAAAACGTGGTACTAGATTCACAGGTTCATCAGAAGCTGCTAATTGTACTAATAGATGACAATAAAAGATCAGATTAACCCAATCTGCGCTGACAAAGATCACTGAACAGTTACATCAGAGCAAAAACACAAGCGGCTCAGCTAAGCAACTGTATTACAGTAATAAACATGAGGGTAGCTAAAGCAACACTTTGACAAGATACCGACCAGATGCGTAGACAGCCAATTGAACGTGTGCTTCTCAACAGGGGGAAAACGCGGATAGCAAGATAACAACTATATCCATACTGAAGTATCCAAATGAAGCGCTGAACATAAGCTATCCAACGGTATCATTAAATATTTACAACAAGCTATGTACAATTATTGAGGAGGTAAAAATGATCATAAATACATGAGAAATATCTGAGTCGACATTCCCCTAATGTTTGAAAATCAAAGTTACAAAAACATTTTCAATACAAAAATGAGATAGCGAACATATAAGAGATAGCACACATCAAGTCAATACATGGTTTGAGAGTACCATAAGATAACAAGAGAATGAAATAGTCGGGCAACTAATTCTCTGACACAGAATGTTCTCACACTGTACAATGACGACCGCCGAACTTTGCCGAGCCGTGTCGGAAATAAAGCCGGGGAGCAGATCGGTCACGAGACCGTTACATGAGCAAAGTTTGATCAACGGTGACAATACCCATACACATTTAATAACACATATGATCCCGGATAAATAATGTTCACGATAAATATATTTCGTATCAGATCACCACCACTCATATTATTCAACAAATGTTAATGTCGTCCCGGTAGAGCCCTTTCTAAACTGCTGTCAATTCGAGGCTGTTCTGGAAAACCCACGTATTTTACCCAATCGACTGAGTAAACGCTAAATGAATCATAAAAAATTATAAAAATAAAAAAGGAGACTTATGCAAAAAGTTCGGATTCGAACCAGCGTCAATTTCCCTGATACAGCCGAGTTTTAATATCACGATGTCAATGTAAGCAAGCACTCACTCACCCGGGTTTACCTCACGTTTGATGTCAAGGTCAGGTCACATTTGATCAAGTTAACAAGACAACCAGGAAGCTTACCTGTACTGTGCAGTCTCTGTCAATTTAAATTATATACGCCGGTGTAATGGATACATAAACGACACTCACGGACAGGTAAGCTATAATGCCTTATTGTGTAATTGTGTCACCATCATATATCAAATGTACCGACTGACATATATCTAGTTACCATCGCTCTGACTGATTTGACTTGGCCGGTACTCTTCGTGATAAACTGAAGTGGGATGGCGATGGATTTAACCGCTTGAGAGAGACAGAGGTGAACTTTCATCGGATTAGACTCGGGTGTTGTGTTGACATTGTGTCTTGTTGGCAAGTGTTGAAATTGTGTCAGCGTTCCGTTCTGTGTGAGCTATTGTGCACACAGGGCACCATGTACGCGTGTCGTTCACGTGACCCATGTGTTGTATTGAGAATGTCATTTTCATACGAGGACCGTGTCTATGGTCTAGTTGATGGAACGTCTAACCCACGAGGGAAGGTCGGTGGCTCGATCCCCTGTCCGCGTCATATCAATGACGTTAAGAAATGGTACTTGTTGCTCTCCTGCCTGATGCTTGGCATTAAGGTGATAACACAAGGACTGGTCGCCTCGGAGTCAGTGTTATGTGTCTCTGTGGGGTATCCATGTTAAACTGCGTGCACTTCGCTGTATAACTGCGACGTTAGATTCCCCTTCACATTACCTCACATCACCTGCGACAGCGTACCATCAAGGTAATTGTATTGTACATATATATATATATATATATATATATATATATATATATATATATATATATATATACTCTTTACATGTGTTCTGAAGTTGAGCAGATAATAATACTCCATTATATATATTCGGTAATGAACAGTCGTTTCAATATGTCATATGTGTGAATGAATATACACGTTATGCTATAATATGTATTAACTTCGAATGCATGTCCACGTTTTTAAGAGAGCAAGATCTTTTTCACCCCGAGTTTATGTAGAATTTGTGAGTCTTCGTTTTTAAGATAGTAATGATTTTTACCCCAGTTTATGTAGAATTTGTGAGTCTTCGTTTTTAAGATAGTAATGATTTTTACCCGAGTTTATGTAGAATTTGTGAGTCTTCGTTTCTAAGATAGTAATGATTTTTACCCGAGTTTATGTAGAATTTGTGAGTCTTCGTTTTTAAGATAGTAATGATTTTTACCCGAGTTTATGTAGATCTTGTAATGGTGCTTCAAGCGTGTTTGTCTTGAAGATGAAAAGACGCTTTGTCATGCACGCGTACCTATCAATTCGAAATAAAACCTAAATCTTTGTTGCTACAAAAAGTGTCATGTTGTCCCAACACTTTCTGTTACCTGCCAGCTGGAGTGTGACGCGGTGGCAGTTGTAAAGGCGATGGACATCATTGACAATGCTACTAAATACTGAAAGTGTATTAGAACAAAGAAAACTAGCACAAAACTAGCACAGTTAAAGAAATCCTCAAGATGTTTAATTAAATTTATGAGTATGTTGCAGTTAAACGTATAGTTGACGCACGTCCGTCTCCTGTCTCGTGTCACCATAAATCTCCATTTGTACCTTCAATATGTCATAGCTATGACCTTGAAGCGAAATAAACGTTTGTTGTTGTTGTTGTTGTTGTTGTTGTTGTTGACAATGAGTCGCTTAATGTTCGTTTACGCCCTCGAACATGTATTTTGTTAAGTATGGTTTGTGCGGGAGGTGTTTACGAAAATATAATTAATTGAATGGCAATATCCCAGGGTGTCACTGTTAAGTAATATCGTTACATCTCATCCAAATTAAAACCTTTTTACAAAATAAATTACATAATTGTCATACATGACAATCGCATCGTGGTGTTCGAGTGTATACAGAATGTATTCGAGTGTATTCAATGATATTACTACATCATATATTATTTGCAACAAAACAAAAATACAATGATTTCATTTTTCACAAAGCACTTGACACACGTACAGTTTTGATACAGTAACTGTATATTTATTGCATTGATATTACTACATTGATATACTATTTGCAAGAAAACAAAAATACCAATTCATTTATGAAAAGAACATTGGACACACTTAGGGTTTTGATACTGTTAAAGATCTTTAAACATTTGATCCTGTACCATGACAAGATGTTAACAAAGATACCATAGACAGTTTCTAAAAATGACATATCTTGTATGCTCCAAACTGGACACATCTTATCGCTCTAATAAAGTCAGAGGTTGTGGACAACGCAACCCACTTCATGTGTGTTTATTTGAGTAGATAAATATGGAGGATTCATATTTCAAAATGAAAACAGATATATCAGAAATGCAACTCGGCAAAGACGATTAGAGAGTAGGATACTATGCTGATGACAAGCAGTAATGTTTGGACGGATCTGAAGAAAGCCTATCAATACACTTCTGTAATAGTCAGGCCTCCAACTTCATTTAGATAAAATTAAAGCAGGGATAGACTCAGTAGTTCAGTACAAAGTGTCAGGATCTCAGCTGTCAATAGTGTGGCTATTTATTCATTGGAATGAACTAAAGGAACTGTGGGTGGTTAACACACAAACAAGACTTAAAGAATACTATTTTTTTCTAAAAATATTCCAGGTGCACGTGTGTGCATTGCGTATATTATTTATTTTTATCATTTTATTTGTATTCTCAAGATAGTTGCCATGGTTTTACAATTAACCCTTACAGACTCACATGGCGAGAGGTATAGGGCTTGGTGTGATAATAACATTAGCTAGAATAATAAGTGTCATTAAAGTATACTATAATGACAGACTTACATCAAATTGGATAAAAAGAACATTGAACCTTACCGGTACATCCCAGTCACTTCGACTCAACCTGCACATATTAACACATCACTTCCCACTCCCCCGACGAATTTATAGATAATCCTCAATATTTCTTAAGATATTTATGGAATGAGAAACGAACCAACTTGAATATATAGGAAGACATTAAATAAATAAAAAAAATAATTGAAATAATTCATGTACTGTATGTTAATAGATACTCAAAAGCAATATTTAAGAATGAATCTTTAAGATAAAATTTCTTAAATTACCACCGTTTCTTCCCCCAAATAGAATTATTTCAATTAAGCTGTATGTGCAAATATTCATCATAATCATAGGCAACCCATATTAGAAGGATCTGATGTGCAAATAGGGGTCTTATCACACACAACTCGTTATAAGCTCAACAGGCATTACGGGTTCATCCTTTGGTTCATCCATTGATTTTAGCTACGAAATAGTAAAATATGTACCTTGTTTTCCTCAACAATACGACTTAACACTGCTAGATATGTACCTTGTTTTCCTCAACAATACGACTTAACACTGCTAGATATGTACCTTGTTTTCCTCAACAATACGACTTAACACTGCTAGATATGTACCTTGTTTTCCTCAACAATACGACTTAACACTGCTAAATATATTGACAAGTGTGTATTTTAAATTGTATGTTTTATGAGTGATATGAAATCAATGATTTCGCCACACGCCACATGTCAGTTTTGACTAATAAGGTAATACCTGTAAATGGCAATGTATTTTTTTAAATGTTGGACGTCCTGCCAAAATGTGATTATGGAAAATATTTTGTTGCCTATATATATTGCGATAACTTTTATGTTTAATTTTGTCAACAGCAATAAATTCGTCGCCTTAAATAATCATTTATATGTTTGCATCTGTCGGGATGACGCTTCTACTCATCATCGGTTCAGTGTATGAAAATACAAATATTTTACATATTTAATACAATAAATTAGAGTCATTTATTCTATAATTGCCGAAAAGGGACCTGCATTAACTTAAATGTGCTAGGTACAGCGACACCTCGTCGACACAAACTCTCAATATTGCATATAAGGCTATGAAACGTCATGATAACTCTACAAAGCGACATGGCGTCCAGTAGAACGTCGCGTTAACGCTATGTCCCTCCACAATGGGTTGCTTGTGACGGACAGAAGCTGTTGAACACTGTCCCTCTGTGTTTACTTACCCGATATACCTGACCTGAATGTAAACACAGACCAATGCAAGGTCGATTCACAAAACAGCAAACATTTTCCCTTCCTAAGGGACTGGTAATATTTATTGTAGAGGTGTGTAGGTGTGTGTGTGTGTGTGTGTGTGTGTGTGTGTGTGTGTGTGTGTGTGTGTGTGTGTGTGTGTGATGGGTCAAATACAAGCGACAAAACCCTTTCCATATTCATATGAAATACCTGCCAAAAGCAGGGTTGATTGAACGATTCTGATTTATCTTCAGCCATTATCTACGGTGGCCCATAAGGGCATGGAGTTTGTTTTTCAATATTTTGATGTTTCACTTTCTTTTATTGTAACCTTTTGCAAATAGTTTTCACCGCGGAAGAAATAGTTTTCTGTATTTTCATTTTAGTTTTTGACATTTTCGCTTTTGTTTTTGACATTTTCATTTTAGTTTTTAACATTTTCGTTTTTGACATTTTCAGTTTAGTTTTTGACATTTTCGTTTCATTTTTCAGCGATTCAATATCTTCTTTACACATGATTTATCACATATTTGTAAGACAAATCGTGTTAATTTGCAAAAGGTTACGATAAAAGTAAGTGAAATATCAAAATATGGAAACACAGACTCCATGTCCCTTATGGGCCACCGTAATTATCACATCGTGTTGACACCGGGTGTTCTCGAAAATGTGAGCGTATCCTCCCTTGGCACCCGTTTTCTCTGTAAATTTCAGATGACATTTGTTAATCTTCAATTTTGTTTCGTCACGATGTGGCTGAAATAATATATTGCCGACGTGACGTTAAACTTTAACTCACTCACTCACTCAGCTGACATTTGCTTTCATGTTTGACAAATTGATCTGAATTGATAGATCTATGGTCACCACGTTTTGAAAGAAATGCCCCCATGGATCTAGGAATGAAGGACTATATCATATCTGCTGATACACGCCCATTTGATGTGACATTTTTTCAATATTCTATTCCATGGGTCCCTGGTACTTAAAAGGTGTCAAATTACATTAACTCATGTTTAATTTGGGAACGATTCTACACACTGTACCCTATTTTGATATAAACGACTTGATTTGTGATCACCATTTTCATCTGTGGGTATATCAGCTGACTTTCATTTTGTCGATTCGCTAAAGTGTATTGCCGAGGGTAGGTACGTATTGCGATACACAGACATTTGATGCTATTTGCAATTCGGCCTTCAACTGCTCACGATGAAAGTTTTAGTTCATGGATGAGTTCAAACGTAGCAATTTGGGTGGACGCCTTTCACATGAAATGTCAGTCAGGCGGGTGCTGATCCCCACCGATGATAGTCACTGGCCCTGGAAATATTGAAGAAAAGTAATCTTACATGTTTCTGATAAATACAATAATTATACTGTCGGTTGAACGCAGGAACGATTCAATTTGGATTCCAAATATTACCTCACACTCGTATTATTTACGATAGAAGGCTGAAATAGACTGAAGTTAAAAAATATTAAGTCTCATATTAAGTCCAAATCACATTTGTGTTACGTCTCCGGTTTTCACAAGCGCAGAAAGATGTGATATAAGTCAAAATATGGAATGGTGTTGCACATGATTTTGGTCGCTGATGCGTTAAGTTTGGTAATGTCCTCCACTAAAAACATTTTTGACAAGTGTATAACCTCGTGCCATCTTTCTCAATAATATCAACC